GTGTAAATGCTTAACAGTGCAGTGTGTTTCAGCTCTGTGTATGAAGCAGCAGCTAGCGGAAGGCCGCGGAATCCGCTCAGCTGCTGTGATCGAGCCTTGCCTGCGTGTACATGAATTTCTTTCAACCTGCTGGAGCTTCTCTGGCCCGGGTGAAGCTGTCTTAGGGCTGAGCAGAGCCGAAACTCCACAGCACAGCCTTCCAACGCGTGTTGTCACGTTGAGCCGTGCTGTGTCAGTTCTGTTTGAGGTACAGATGATGTGCATGCAACCCCTGCTGATGGGATTTGCACGAGTGGATGGGACTGGCTTGTGAAAGTCAGCCCTGGAGCTGCAAATCTGGTTTCTAGTGCGACCACATTGACACCTTGTGGCAGACTTGGCCATCATGTTTTTTAAAAATCTATTATTGATGGATGACTTACAGATGTCAATTGCTAGACATTTCCTAGAGACATTCCACTTGGCCGTTTATACTTTTTCTTTCAACAACTCTTAAACTCCCTTGGACAAATACAAACATTAAAACATCAAAAAACAAAATGCAGAGGCTGACCTAAACCACTGTCTATCAAATACCATCCTCAGTTGCGTATCGATATCCTAAAAGATGAACAGAAATAACCACTGGAGAGTATTTTTTTTTCTACTTTTCTGCTTATCTAAAACTTGAGTTCTCTGCCCCTTTTTTCTGTAGTATTGTTATTTTGACTTCAGCTTAAACTGATACACACTTTTTTCCCTCCCCTACAAGGCTTAAATATGACCTGTGTAACCTAAGAAAGATGCTGTAAGGGTTTAAAGATCCTTCCCTCTGTTTCTTTAAGTGAAACCTGGGCTCCAAGTCCACCACATGTCATATATTATGTTATGAGCAAAAGGATATTCACATACTGAAGTTCTTCTCTGAGAATGTTTCCCTGCTGGAAATAACATTTTTACAAGCTTCTGTATTCCCTTCAGTCTCTTCCTAACAGGACCTCCTGTGGGGAGAACTCGGTATTTCTCATTCCGATGATAGTTTTGAGTAACGTTAATAATTGTCTGCCAACCGCTGTGTATTTTTTGGCAATTACAAATCACAGTCAAGTTTACTTCCCTGCTAAAAATTTCTTTAGCACCGCTTTCAGAGCGGTGATCGGGTAGACTGCAGCCTTTGCCAGGCTATCATGGCATTTATGCTTTCGGTTTCCCTGGAGCTGCAGAACGTGGTTTTATTTATGAAGTGCATTTTGCCATTCACCATTTCAGGTAATAAAAAAGCCATCACATTCCTCTGCATTTCTCCTGCTACACCCTCAGCAAGTGTTGGTTGCTCTTTAGTCCTGTTAGGAAGTTCTCATCTCTCTGCAGCTCTTCTGCTGAGAATGTGAGAAGAATGTTATTCCTGGAGTAAAACTAGGTCTAATCTGGAAACCCAAGTGCCAAATGGTGACGGTATTTTTGTCTTGTGTTTGTGTTCAACATTGTAGTTCCTTCAGTTAAGGTAGTTGATATCACTTCTTCTTTAGTGGTTTTCTCAGTTGTTTGGAGTCTCTGCAGATGTTAAATTCATCAAGCTGACAGTCACAGGAGAGCTGGACCCCGCTTTGCTCAGTGTTGCAAATGTGTAGATGGCAGCCACCCTTTTCAATCCTACGTCGCACAGCAGTACCTTTCAGAGGTTTATCGTACCACGCGTAACACACAATACTTGCTTCTACAAGGTCAACATTTCTTTATTTTTATTTAATACCTTTTTGGTCTTCTATGAGAAAATTTATTTCCATTTGTCCAACTTGACTTGTTTTTATGCCATCCATGTTCTAGCTTATGGGTTTGTTCTGCCATTCTGTGTCCCAATGCTCATTTGTCTTCTGTACGAAACCAGTAGTGTTAGTAACTCCCTCAGATCCCTGGTGATGGAAGGTGAAGGATGAATGTTGCTTTTACAGTAGGATTTAAGGTACTTAAGAGTGTATGGTGGCTGAATTTCTGCTAATATCCTATTTGCTCTTGAGAGAAAAGGAAGGTGTAGGAAGCCAGCACAAGCACCTGCAAATGTAACTTTGCTTCCGTTTCCTTCCCCAAACAGCTTTTGCTAGGAAAACAGCTTTAAGATGCAATGGGAAAACAGCCTGAGCATATCAGATCTCTGCCAGCCTAAAAGTATTTATGTCATGGTTTTAACAACAACAAAACCCCACAATATTAAAAAAAAAAAGAAGAAAATTTTAAAAAAAAATCCCTAAAAAACTCTTCAGCCGGAGGGCAGGGATGAAGGGAGAGAGGGGGATGCTGTCTGGGCTTGAGCAGAGGGAATGCGTGGCACAGCAAGGGAGGAGGTGAGCACCCAGGGCAGGGAAGTGAAGGGAGCACGAAAGCAAAGTTTGAGGTGGCAGTGGGTTGTGGGCATGTGGTTTTGCGACCCACTCCATAAAGAGTGTAATGGAAATCCTGAGCCCAGCGAGAACGGGAGAAAAAAAGTGTAAAAAGTAGGGAAGCCTGGGAAATTGTGTGACAGGGGGGAAAGTCAAAGGGTTGGAGCTGGTGGTGAGGCTACAGTGAGCAGTTCCAGGGCTGCCATTCATCAGCAGAAGCACAGCAATAAATTTCCTTACTGTGTTCAAAGGTCTGCCAGCTCTGCAGGCTTTGTCCTAACTTTCTGGCTTGCTGTCTTGCATGTGCTGCCCCCAAAAATCGCTTTGTTAGCAGCTTTGCTCCGTTTGTATGTCCATTTTGATTGCGTTTGCCAAGTCAGCACAGCAGTACATCTTACTACAGAGTTCCTCTGAGCCTGCTGCAAGACTTCAAGGCAGTGAGCTCAACTTGGGGCAGAAAACAGACGTGGCTAAGATGCTATAAAAACCCCTTCGCTATCGATTGTAAGCCGTAGCGCTTTCTTAATAATGCTAATGTCAAGTGGTGCTGTAATATTTAACTGTTCTTCTCAAGAGTTCAAAGCATTCCAGTCCCACCAGCAATAGGAAGGAAATACTACAGCGGTCCCCTATGCATGTGGGTGAATGCAAAGCCGACAGAGGCAGAGAAGCAAAGGGCTTACGGTGGCAGAGTGAATGAGTTACCCAGGGTAAAACTGAGATGTTCTAACTCCTGTCTTGAGGAAAGGCCGTGCAAAAAGTGAAACACATCTGAATTGTTATTTTAGACGCACGTGTGTGAAGTACCTGTGTCTGATGTAGGAGTCTGTTAAAGGCTCTCACCAGAGGCTTTGGTTTGGGTTGTTTTTTTTTTTTAACTTGCAGAGGTCTTCTGTCACACTTGGTGAAGTACAGGGCTTCCTTGCAATCCAACATTTTTAAGGATGAGAGAAGCTGTGAAACTTGTTTGTGATTAGTTCAAATGTTTTCTTATAAATTGTGCCAGCTCTTATGGGAAGTGAGTTAAAGTATTAGCAAAACTTCTCAGAATAATTGGCAAATACGAGCATCTGATACAGAGCAAGATTGTTATCTGCTTCATAGACCATCTTATGGTATTAATTTTTATGGTATTTGAGCTCGCCAAATTAGTAGATTTGTCATCAGTGTTCTGTGAGGAAGATATTTCTGTGTTTAAGAAGAGGTGGGAGGCAGGTACTGTGAACTGCCCAGGACTGCACTGGGTGCAGAACACCACCCTCTTTCCCACTTTTTATGCTGAGGAGCTGTTTCAGGGGTGACTTCCACCTAAGACTTTTCAGTTAAGTATTTGTTTCTACTTCCCTTAGCTCCTCACAAAGGAAGGTGTCTATGGTTTCCTAACTTTTTGGGAAGGGGTTTGAGTAGAGAAGAGGATTCTCTTTCATTACTTTTTTTTTTTTTTTTTTTTAATCTTAAAATGAATTTGGTAATTCTGTAAATCTCCCCTAGGAAAGCAGCCTGCCTCCTGGAGAATTTTTCCCACTGCTTCCAGCTGTTTCTAAAGGAGTCTTGACAACCAAAAAGCAAAGACCATCGAGGGCTTTCCGAGCCTGTTGGGATTTATGGATTAATTTTCAATTTGGCAGCAAGAGCTGGACTCAAATGCATCTCAGCAGAGATACCAAATAGCAACAGCCTCCTACCCTGTGCAAAAGCTGCTGCCTCCTTTCTGTTAGCAGCCCCTTTCCTTACCTCAGGAGCTGACAAAACCAAAAAGAAATCCTCCTGTCTTGGAAAGTGTAAAAGGCTCTGCAGCAGAAACTCCCGAGTCCCAGATGCTTGTGCTGTGGTGAAATAACAGAACAGCTTGTGCTTTCTGTGGGCTCTTGGCCAGCGGCAGAGTTCCTCTTAAGCAGGCAGTGTGACACAGCACTGCTGCTGAGCTGCCCTCCGAACAAAAGCTCCATGAGAAAAAACCCTCTGGTGAGCACAAGAGCCAAGAGAAATGAAGTTCTGTTTAGTGCCAAAGTCTAATTTCTTTTCTCAGACACTCTCTCAGCAGAATGCACATTCTATGTATTTTACTGAAAGATTCCCCAGTAAATAAGACAGAGATGAAAGAACAATAAGTTATTAAACATCAAGAGAGGGATTTGAACCACCACCACATTCCTGTGCATCCTCTGAGGAAAAGGAGAAAAGCTTATGCACATGTCTCTGGTAAGCCGCGGGCACTATATAAAGACAGTGTGCCGATTTTCCTATAGATTTTAAATGCTTTCTGTATCGAAATATGTAACGTACGTTCCAGACATGAAAATAAATGTTGACATGTACAGTTATATCCTGCTTTGCTGTGTGTATATTTTCTGAATGCTGTCATTTGGGACTTGCTCTATTTGGGTATGTGGAAGGTATTTTTCCACTCTGCATCGCACTTTCTCTTAGAGTGTACATAGGTGTACAGCAGTAGCTGGGAAAGCTCTGGTACAGGTTGTTAGGCGAGCCAACGAGCCTGGCCTTGCACAGGCACAACAGAGGCATTCAGTCCATGAAATGTCTCGAGTTGCTTCAGTGTGTTAAGTAGGGTGCGTGGCATATTTCAGCACAACTAAGGAGGGCTGTAGAACTCAAGTACTTTTCAAAGCATTTCACAGGGCATTTATTCCATAGTTTTGTTTTAATGTCATTTCCAATCTTTATGTAATATGCAGTGGATACATTTATAAGCCGTTCTGCTGATCTAGTTATATATATTATGGCTGTAATTAGTGGAAAATTCATGATATACCGAAAAAACTGTCATGTTCTCTGAAGATAAATCATACCTGCAAGCTCCAAATTAGCGTTTCTTGGAGCCAGCCACATATGGCCATAAGAGACTGAACTGATACAGTATACTTATTTCCTAAAGATTCTTTAAACACCAACACCACCACCACAAAAAAGCTGCTAGTGTTTTCCGGAGTGAAACAGGTCAAACTGTCACCACTTTCAAAAAATGCATCACGTGCTAATGTCACTTCAAGGTAAATTATTACTCTTTAGTCACCTTTTCAAAAACAAGAGAATTCAGAGTTGTCAGTCAGGGCCATGTTTAATTCCTGCCTGGGACCAACATAACTGATTGCACTTCAGAGAAGAACCTAACAGAGATACTGCAGGGTCAGAGAGTTTGTAAATCCCATGTGAATGTTGAAGTTTGATGAAGCATCAGTGCTAAGAGGAATGGAAAAAAAAATAAACAGAAGAAAAAAGACTATTCAAAACAAAGTGTTCTAGATGACCATTTTATAATGTGTTACAGCTTTTTTAAAACATGTCATACTGACATACTTAAACTTTGGTATAATGCCAAAAACCTTCAGGATCAACCTTCATACTTGAATTATTACCTGAAGAATTCAGTGGAATAATGCAGAGATTAGCAGCTTTACAGCTTACTGAACATCAAACATGTCCCAACAGAACACAGTTTAAATGTTTGTAATCATAAATCAGCTGTATAATTGCATTATGGGACTATGTTTTGTAATTAAGGGTTAAGTCAACGATAGTTTTCTTGTTTAATACAACAGATACTTTAAAGTTGCTTTTTTTGTTGTTGTTTTTTTTTTTTTTTCCCTCATGGCAGCATCTGGGTGTCTTCTTTTTTGAATTAACAACCCCCACGGCCTCAGTCCACATCGGGCCTTACATTGAAGATGACTTCCCTGATTTGCCTTGCATTGTGCATGATCCCTGAGAAGGGTACCTGCAGCTACCTTCAAGTGCTCTGGTGTACCTCCCCCGCCTCTGAGAGTGACTGTGTTCACAGCATCGTTTTATAAACGTGAGATGTGTCTTTGAAAGCTCACTGATATGGGGCTGGGCCTGTATCAGGCAATAAGACAGACCCAAAGATGCTTTCTAGCAGAGAGCACAGCTCTGTGTTAGGGGAAATAAGCCTGATTAATTTATTTGCCAGTTGAGCAAATAGTCATGGGGAGTTTATGGAGAAACCTTTACTGGGGACCGTGGTTCTTTTACGGTAGTTGAACAGTAGGTCAGCACTTTAAAAACATGCCTAGTGTTTCGAGGCATTAATGAAGATCTATGCCATCCTGAACCCAGTCACCAGTGAGGTTCAGATGCTGAGTCCTGTTACCGTGAGCCATCCCCTTCGCTTCCATGGGAGGTTAATGAGATCCCGCTGCAGTAAACAGCAGCCTTTGGCACCCCATGCGACACAGCTGGTCGATGCTTAGACTTGTGCTCCTGGAACATCTATGACCCTTGCCATAAAGCCCTTTAATAACACTTAGCTACTCAGAGTAGCACCTTTTTGACCCAGGACTTGTGCTTGTTGGGAAAGGTTTAGTCTGGAGGCTTCACAAGTTTCTGTGTCTTTGATTCAGTAAAGTCAGGCTAGCGCTATACTTGACATCGGGGTACAAAGCCGTGGCATAGTTCACCTCGCCATAAGGGAGAAGGGAGCACAGCTCCCTGTGTATGGCTGCTTGCTGGGCAGAGGGTGGCCTTGCAGCTGGAGTGGGCCAGTAGTCGCTGTAAGGGGCACTGGGGTAAGCAAAGCCCAGTCTGTTGCTGGAGTCTAAAAGCGCGGGCTGCCGTGGGGGCCGGCCGGGGAAACGGCGCTGGTGCTGCAGCTGCTGCTCGCTGTACAAGCGCAGCGGGTCAGGGGGAAGAGGGGCGGCCTGCAGCAAAACGCGGTGCTGAGTCCCTAGGGCCTGTTTGTGCCGAGCACCCTCAGGGACGTAGCGGCTCCTCCGCCCCGTCCCGTGCGTGCTGCAGCCCTCCCGGGGCCAGCTGTCGCCCGGGTTCATCCCACCCTGCGCAGGCGGGAGCACCCGGTGCTGGAAGGGGCATCCCGGTAAGCCGGTGGGGTCCGAGCTGTGGGGGTGACGAAGCGAGTAGGGGTTGTGCCCGAGGTCACCGCAGCGATGAGGGCTGCCCGGCACCTCTCTGTCCTGAGAGGTACGGACGCACCAGTTGCAGCCGTAGGTGCTGTCACTGATGGACAGCGCTGACATCTCCGCCAGCGGCTGGTCTGGCAGCGGCTCTGGCTGGAGCGGCCGCTGGGCCAGCCCCGGGTCAGGGCCGGGGCCACCGGCCCAGGCACTTCCCGGAGGCTCAGGACCGCTCCCCTGGCACCACCCTGGGTAGCAGGAACCACCCCTGGCTTCTCGCAGCGTTTCTGTGCAGGCGTCACGGGGTGCAGGATCTCCGCCCGTCCTGTACGGTGAGAGGTGACGCTTCTCCTCTTTCCCCAGGCTTCTTTTGGCCCTGAGCTCATCAGCAACCGAGAGCTGAGCTTGATGTGGTCTCTCCGGGTGGTAAAATTTGCATTTATTGCCATAGGTGCATTTTTTACCTGAAAGAATCAAAAATCAAACAGGAAGTTGTCACTAGCACCCTGTCGACTAACATCATCATCATTTCTCCCCAGCACGGTGCATTTGCATGGGTGGGGTGAGGACGAACAGCAAAGAGGGGAAATGCTGTTTTCTAATTCTGTACTTCTGACCCCAGGTTTAAATATTGCTGACCTAAATAACAGGATGAAGCAGCAGTGAAAGGAAGTTTCTGCTATTTTGAAAGTGTCTGAAACTCATTTATGTTCTGGTTGCTACTCAGTGGGCTGGGAGACCTTCTGCTACTAGGGGTTGCTTTAAAAAAAAAATATATAGGGATTTACCCCTGCGAACCCTGCACGTGACTGGAAAGCTGTTGGGAGGGGAGAGAGGGGAGGCGGTTGGATGGCCTTTCCCAAGTGCTACGATGCAAGTCCGCTCTGTGAAGTGAAAAGTGTGGGCAGCCTGGGGCAGGCCGGCGCAGCCGCGGTGCCGGGTTTGGGTGCTGCGTGCGGGCCAGGCTGGAGGAGTCAGAAACAGCTGCTGCCTTTGCTGAAGCTGAAGCCGCTTAAGCAGGAGAGGAAAAAAGCATCACACATTTGAGCAGCCCTGACCCAAGTCCCTACCACACGAAGCAGGACAGCACGTGGCAATGGTGCTCACCCTTAGCCGAAGGAAAGCGCTGCTGGGAAGCAAGGGGGAAGAGAGAGAGGGGTGGTAGGTCACAGCAAGGGGAGAAACCCACCATAGGGGCAAGGCTGCCATTTCGGTTCAGGAAGCACTGGCTTTTTGCTGAGGAAGTTATTAAGTGTGGGTCCATGCCGGCCTAACGGATCATCAGGAGGCATAAACCTGAAAAAGGAAAAAGTCACAGGGGTAACAAAAATACCTTGAGCTTCTGGAGCTGAAGTGCCATCACAGCTTGTGGCAGAAGCTTAGGACAGAAAATCTTTGTGATCCTTTTGTGGCCTGGCCTTCACAAGTCAGGCTGCGTTACTAGACACAGTGCCCTCCTGCCTGCCAAGACAACAATGCTTCAGCTTCATGTAGTTGTTTTTTCCTAATAACATAAAACAACTGGAAAGACATGGTGGCTTGGCATAGCTCTGGCCAGCCAGCAGCCCCAACCGTGGCAGCATCGCTTCCTTTTTCTCTGAGACAGCAGCAGCAGCAAATGCTTCTGTGGTCCCAGCACTGCAAACTTCACCATCGGCTCCCTTACACAGCAAGATCACTTTTCTCTTACTAAATACTTGTAGGAGACTGAGGATTAAAAAGCTAGCAGTTAATTCAGAGCTGCAGCTGATCATACACGTGGTGTGATGAACAAGCCTGGCCTTTTTTGAGGATTCAGTATGGACTTACGAAATGCACAGATAAAACTGTTTCTTCTTCTATGACAGTACCTGAATGTGATGCTTCAGGAAGAAAACTAATTAACATCTGGACTTGTTTGCAAATGAATCTGCACTGCACCCACCCATGGAACAACTCTGTTGGATGAAGGCAGTAGTGGGCAGGAGGGGGTGGCAGGCATTCAGGGAATTTGGTTATCCGCATAATGGGACTGAAACCTCCAACTTCAGGCTGTGGTTTTGTTAGCGGTCGCAATCGCGAATAGAACTTATCTACACACAGCAGATAAGCAGGCACTTCTTTATTCCAGCGCTGGGGAACATGGGGGATAACTCTGCCAAAGACGTGTTCCACAACAGATACAAAGCACGACATATTTATACACTTTTTCAGCAGAGTCGTGGTTACAGAGTCATGGTTACATAGTCATTTTAACTCCAGATCCATAACCAGTACCCACTGTTTTGATTCAGAGTCCATAACAATTCCTGTAGTGATTAAGGCAAACACCATACTAGTTACCTGTTCCTAAGGGCCTCAACATACCTTATATTGTCATAGCCGCTATAACTCCATTTTAAATCAAGGTCATATTTTAAACTAAAATCAAAATATTCTGAGATTCAAACTATTTTATTAAGGTAATTGCAACAGTTTTAGAGAAGTTCCCAGCACTGTGCAAGAAGTTCCTGCTGATGCTATTCAAATGGGCTTCACAGTAACAGCTAGACTTTCTGAGGGAAGGGTTCTGAAAAGGTCTGGCAATCCCTGTGAAATAGGAAGGAAAATATCATATAAATATTTGTAACCCATTAGTAACTAGGGAAGAAACCTGGTGGTAGTTGGAGATAATGGACTGGAGCTTCAAGAAATACAGTATGCTGATGTTCAGTGACTGCCTTTCTGTGAGCGTTACAGGGAAACAGCACACCAGTGCCAAGCACTCCCATGCGATTTTGGTGGCAGGAGAGCCAAGTCTCCATCCTGATCCAAGGAGGTCGCTTCTCCACTCAGATTCATCCGTGGTACTGGACGTCACCAAGTACATTTCCCCAGCCAAACTGATGGCTAATGACCACCTCTGCTACTAGGAAGCTCAGACAAGGTTAGTATGTGCAGACTGAGGAGTATATGGCTTGGCCCCACAGGCACAGCGCAAGTGCCTTAATGAAAACCTTTGCCAGTGGGGCTGGTTAAGGGCCAGAGAGACCAGCTTCTCATCTCTTTTCTTATAGAAAGTTATGATTACAGAAGCATAGGAAAAAGTGCTGTTCTGCCTTGTAGGGGAATTAAAAGTACTGCCAGATAGCTAGCCTCCTCTCACAGATTTTATTCCATTTCTTATAGGGAGTAGAAATTAAAAGATACTAAACCTTGGTTTATCACCTCAGTTTGGATTGGAAATAAGCAAAGCTGGTCACTAGTGCTCCCATTCAAACAGAGAAGCTCATTAAAGAGTGACCGGGGGGAGAGGGGTTAAGATCAAAACTGAGGGAACAGAAACTAAAGAAATAAGAAAAGTAGCAGTAAATTCCTTTCAGAAAAAGGCTTGCATACTCTGCTACTGGTGAGAGGTGCATTGATGTTGGAGCTGACTTGGCCCGTAATGTTTAAAAATTCAAGATTGTTTAAGAACAACTGTCTCTTACCTGTTACTGACAAAGGAGTACATGAGTAGTCTCTGCTCAATAAACCATTTCCACTCGGGGTTTTCATTCTGGAGATCCCGGTAATGGTCATTGGAAACAATCACTCCATCTTTCTCATAAGCAACTTTCACTATATAGCGATCATCATAGCAAACTACCCTTTTGCCTTTCACCTTCCGGGATGGGGTGTATACAAGGATCGATTGCTTTTCAAGCTCTTCAAGAATGTGCTGATCTGGTGGCAGAAATAGAAGGGAAAAAAAAAATTTAAAAAAGAGAAACTAATTGATTAATAATGACCAGGTCTCAATCACGTACTAGAAACCTTCAGGAATCTAAAGATGTTTCAGCACTTTAGGCAACTTACAGTGGTGTGATATTCAGATACACTGATATCTGGTTGTTATTTGGCAACTTGAAAATTAGGTCTTTTACAAAAGCATCCACTTGTAAAATTTGACAGACCCTTTTTGATACTTAAGTCTTATCTGTAAAAGGATGGCTTGGATTCTACACCAGAGGCATATGAACCCCTGTAGCGCCCTTTTTACCCTGCTAGATGCTAGAAGGAGCATAACCAGCCCTGATGTGAGCTTTACTTGGAGACAAAATGTGCTTGATAATATAAATAAATAACCTTATTTTCCTGCTATTGAGGACAGTCTAACTTCTTGTCATTCCTGCTATGCTGAAAGATGGATCCCCAGCGCCTCATCTGCAGACACCAAGCTGCTGGCACAAATCTGGCAGATCTAATTCCATACAAACAGAATCTCGCCACCCTCCACAGACTTCAGCTGATGCATTTCCTTTTTGTGGGAGAGCAACCCATGTAGCTCCTGTATTGGGGTAGTAGGCTGACACATAATAGTCACGCAGTAGTGAACTTTTCAGATACTGCTGCCTTTGGAAAATGTGTGCAACTGTGTTGTTGTCTCCTGGCTGGCCTTAAAAGCTCTGCAGACTCATTGCAAGCTGACAAACTCCTTCTTCAACTCAGCCAGCAGCAACTTGTGCTTGTGAAGCAGTAGGCTCAAAGCAGTGTAACAAAGCCTTGTAAGCAGTTTTAGCTGTTAGCCAGGAGCATGTGGCAATAAAGTAATGACTCAATTGATGGAAACCTGATACACTACTTGCACTGTGCTTGTCTTTACAGGGCAAAACTGTACTGGGCTTTTCACGTTCTCTGTCTCCAAACTACACCCAGTGATTGCCAAATCATGCCCAGGACGGTGACCTACCTGCAATGGGACTGTCTTGTCGAGAGGGCTCCTTTCTCCAGAGTGGGACAAAAACCTTGATGTACGTGTGCCCCCTCTCTCGAAACCAATCCACCGCCAGCTGGATCCCCCAGCAGGAGAATACCTCTTTGTTTCCATGACTATAAAAGGAGAGGAGGAGTATGGTGAGGCAAAGCTTTCAAGAAGCTTAGAGTTCTCTTTAAGTGAGCCAGTAAAGAAGAGGCAAAATAAACAGCTTTTGTGTCATTCACCAGTTTTCAAGAAAACAACCTGGCAGGGTGTCCTGGTTGGACAGATCCAAACAGCTCCTCCAGCGGATCCAGAAACTTGTTATCCGAAGCAGTATGGATACATAAAAACAGAGTTTTCCTACCCCCCCATTTCTATGACCTGCCTGCTACCCCAGTCTGTTGCTTCTATCCGTATCCGGATAGACTTGCGTCCTAAAGTGCCAGCAAGATCTTAGGCTGTGTCAGACCCTTCACATGCCTTGTCTGATAAAGTTTTGAGGAGTGAGAGTTTCTTACAGCTCACGAAGAAACCCACATGACTCTCCTATGAGAAACAAAATGTGGGAATTTTCTTCTGTGGTAACAGTGACATCAGGGATTTTAATATCTGAAGCGGCTACAAGTGTGATTGCAGGTCATTCAGCTTCTGACCTCTTTTGGAAACAGGAGTCAAACTGTGGGAAGGAAAACAGTAAGAGGCAGGATGGAAAATATGGAGAACCTAACCCAGGACACCAAAAAAGGGACAAAGCCTCAGTGGACATGACCAGAGGCACCTCAGGCCCATCTTTATCTTGCCCTACGTGGTGGATTTTGTTTTCATTGCACAGAGAGGCAGGAAAGCCCTAGGACAGGCTCTGTAGGGGATGGAGGCAAGGCGAGTTCTGAAGAATTAGCAATATTCAGAGCAAGACACAGAAAACAACCTCAGGAAGTACAATTGGGGTTGATATCCTTCCTAAGTTCCTCCCCTCATTGAAAATTCTTACTGCTTGTCATTCGCTTATCTAAAATTTGACTACGGTGCAGTGCATGTGTAAAGGAAAGTAATTTGTCAACTACTTCTGCACAAGGAAACAAAAATAAACTCTACACAAAGTCCTGAAATGGATAAATGCCCTCACAGTATCTACAGAAATCTCATCCTTGTACTTTGAGCTTTCTGGATAATATCACCACAGTCTCACTCAGTCTTTCACCTCTGCAAAACATTCTTGTAAATGACTCTCTCCGTTACTACACCTACCTGCAGTGACGGACCAGTCAAGGACAATGCTGCAGTCTTCAATGCCTCTCCCCCCGCTATCCCCCAGGAATTAATCTCTAGGCTCTGCCTACAACAGCCTCATAACCAAAGCTCCATTTTACACCTAATAAAGGTTTCAGTGTTGAAACGGTGACCACAAATGAAAAATAGTACAGTTTGGAGGAAGAAGAAACCTGGTGGTTTATTAATAGATATCCAGGCAATAGGAAGTCTTAAAAAACCCTCACCAATAATAAATGGTCTGAAGTGCTTGACACATCTAATCTCTATTCTAGAACAGCTGTTTTATTTGTTTTTAAAGGATAGGATCTACCCAGGATAGGTATAAATTTACCTGGACAGGAGAACTGGAAGTTCAGGTGACTTTTTCGGATAACTGCCTTTAAAAGGAAGTCTCGGTTTATTGACCCACAATTTACCACAACCCAAACAAAGTTCAGCAACAGCCTGCTTTAACATTGACTACTCATATATATAACTCTGTCAGCCTTGGGGAGGTAGTTCTAGATGTACCCCCAGTGCAGAAGGTAGAGCACCCAACCACGAGTGATTCAGCCAAAAGGCCAAGCAGAGCAAGCAGGAAGAGGCACCTGGAATTGTTTTTCAGCGTTATGACTTAATTCAGTTTTCTACAGCCAAGCCTGGGAAACGTGTATCTCGAACAGTATGTACACGCATGGCACTCTGCAGTGTCGACACAACTGAACACCAGTGTCTGCTGTGCAATGGAGCAGTGGCTTTAAAACTTTATGTTTTCCCCGCATGGTGATTTTGTGTTGCCTGACAACAACAGATTGGCTCCTGTCAGTCACAACCCCGGAGTCTGCGGACCATAACTGATCTGTTGTAGCTCAGTCCCATCTCTCTCCTGCCAGCAACAGGGTGCGTTGCACTTAGGTCACGGCTCAGCAGGGCCCATCTCTCAGAAACTGAGGCAGCAATTTGGCCTTGCTGTGACACTGGCAGTTAATCCATAATTAGCACGCAGTGATGCCTTTTCAAATTATACAATTCCAACCCCTTAGAGAAGAAGTTTAGACAAAGCAGCTCCTTCCGAAAAAGGTGAATGGGCCCATCTCCACCTGGTCATGACACAGCATCAGCCACAGCTTTGGCAGAAGGGAGAGAGCCTAAAGCAGGCCTCTGACAGCCTAGAAAAAGGCCTCTATACCTATCACAGATTAAAAACTAGGTGTAAGTGCAAGCACTAGACTAAGTAGCCTCTTCAGTGTAAAGCAAATAGGGTTATGATAGTTCCCTTTTCATATTAACACAACTCCATTTATTTTTTCCACCAGCCCTGCTAAACTGTCCTGCCCGCTTCCCGTGGATAGGCTGGCAGACAGCTAAGTTTCTCATTACATCTGATGGAAATGCAAAGTGTGTGGAGACGCCAAACTTGTGAGACTGGCTGAAGGCAGTCTCACAAGGTTATTTTCCATTCAGATTCTATGGATAGGCTGATTGATGACTGGAGACTGACAACTCTTTTTATTACCTTGGGGCATCTACATCCTTTTCAAAGCTTCACACCCCTCAATGATCCCTCAATGCCAACTCTGAAATGCTCCAGAAACACCAACCCTAAGACTGAAATACAAATGCTTGAGATATTTTTCTCCACGCGGGCAACTGCCTCTCCAAGCTTCAACTTTTTGCAGCTTCATCCCTAAACTAATGCTTCTCCTGCACTTTTACGGTTGTTGGTGTTGGTGATGATGAGCTTTTTCCCAGCAAGGAAACCTAACATCCCTCTTCCCTGACTTCTGCAAACAGCCCTTCTCCGTCTGACAGCAGAAAACCAGAAAAAATAAAACAAGGCTACTGAGAGCGGTCACCAAGCATGTCCCATTAGCCAAAGTAAATGCCATTCAGCACAAAGTTGAAAAGCTGCTCCTTCCAGGCTGTGTCAGTTCAGTATGAACTGAACTGTCAAGCTCAATAGTCTTCTCCATCATGCAAGTAGTCTTAAACTTTATCAACACAGAGCTGGGGATGTCCAAGAAGAGCTGTAAAACCTTTGCCTTTCTGAGACTCAAAAGTACTTCATATTCCTCTAATTCCTTTTAGGTGAAAGACAAAGAATCCTCAGCAGAACACCAGCCTTCAATAATCTAGCAGGTAACCATCTCTTTAACTCACATTATAAAAATTATTCTACAAAAAGATTAAAATTTTACATGCCAGAAGCACATGTGGCTTCCTGAAAACCCATTTAGGTGGGCATGTGGTCTGGAAAAGCAATACAACATGCTAGCTCAAGCACATGTAATGATGTTTGTTTTAAAGAATCTCTATCTAACAAGCTCCCAGGTGCAGGCTGGTACAGTGGGATGACCTCGGCGCTTTCCCAGAGTACTCCAAGCTCAAAAGATGCACAATCTCATTAGCCACCAACTTACCAGTGGCAAGCGTCCATCTTCTGCCTTCTTGGAAACAATACTGTTCTCTGCCTTGTCCACCTTTGCCTGCTCTAAAAAAGTCCTGGTGAATTGGTGAGGACAAGGTTGTGCCAGGAGACTGGAGCACATGGCCAGTCAGGGGTAGTATTGCCCCTAACACAATGAAAGGGTGGGTGCTCTGCTCAGCTGCTCTGCCTGGATGGGTGCTCATTTCATTTGCAGTGATGCAAGAAGGACACGCTAAAGAGGGTCTATGGTGAAAATATAAATGGGGGCAGGAGATCCTATCATCTGGCTACCGAGCACATGGCCCAGCCAAGGCTAAGCGTTTGCTCTGTTGCTTATTTCTGACTCCTCATGAGCTGCCCTGACCAAGCAACCCCTCGTTTTCAGATGGGATTTCTCCCTTCATCCAGGAGGTGGCATAATTTGCTTAGTCTCCAGTTGCTCTGGATGTGCTTGTCCACTTTGCGCTCTAACCAGAGGGGATGTGGTCTCATCTCACCTCACACCAAAGCAAACCGAAGGAGGAAGCCCCCCTCTGCCCTGTCCCAACCCGCAAGGATGGGCTTGGCCTTGCTGAGTGGACAGAGAAGCTAACAAGGAAAACCGGTGGACAGCCAGCACATCCTGGACTCTAAACTGCCGCGACCTCTGGCTGTTCATATTGCTCCAGGAAACAGAGGCCAGCCCACCGCTGTCTTTGGGCTTCCCACCTGCGTGGACGTGCCAGGCTCCCCAGCAGTAAGATTGCTTTCACACTGTCAGGACACTGCTTAGGAAATATAATCGGCCAGGATGGATTGCTATGACATTTCCCAGAAACAGAATTAATTAATGAGGAAATGAGACTAGTCAGTACAAGTCAACTATCAATTCCCTGATATTTCCATAAAAATGAAGCCAAACTGAAAAGCAACAAAAAAATATAAAAGCTGGGAACATTGTTAGGGTTTATTTTCAAGTCAAAATAGTACAACTGTGATGTTGTTAGGAACCACAGTCACTTGTCTTTAGTCTCTCTCTCCTTCTTAGATTAGTTGGGTTTTTCTGCCTAGCTGTTCATCAGTTTATCCTGGAAACACCTCAGCATGTAGGCTTAAAAATCCCAAGTACCCATTTGAAAAAGCAGGGAAATATCAATGGTGAACTAAAAGGGAGAGAGAGCTGCTGAATCATGCTGCCGTAAACGATAGTGGTTAGCTAGCTGTTAGCTTATAAAAGGTCAAAATGCAGTGAGAACCAGTGATTGCATCAGGCGTGCATATTTATGGGCATAGAGACAGGAGGTCCCTAGAAGCTGTGCCGCAGCCAACGAACAGGAATAAACAGTGGCTCATACAATATACATCAAATACATCAATACACCTCTCACCTGAAGAAAAAAACATACTCCAAGCCGTCAGCTTTGAAATTCAGAAGTTTCAGAAGAAGTGAGAGACCCCTTTCAGGAAACAGAGCTTACCTCATTGCAACATTGCTGCCATCAATCACAATGGGTCTCAAGTAATCGGAAGAATCACTTTCATCTTCTCCAGGCCACTTCAACCCTGGTGTAGTGCTACAAGATCCACGGGCAACAAGTTTTAGTGGGGAAGCCGGCGCCTGGCTCTCCAGAGCTTGAGGTTTGCTCCCCATCCGAATCAGCTCTTTCAGCACATCATCCTCCAGGGCCTCTTGGCCCAGGTTCTCCAGCACTTTGCAGATGTCCTGCTTACCATAGCCCAGCTTGCAGAAAAAATCCAGCTTGCTCTGGTGCACTTCCACCCCTGCTGTAGAAACTTTTCTGGAGCGTGGTGGTACTGGTTTGCTAGAAAGTGAACTGGCCAGTGCCATCTTAGCAGGCATTTATGTTCCTTTAAACTCCGTGCTCCTGTCTTCCTGGCCTTGGCCAACAGGCATCAGCTCTAGGGAGGGAAAGATCAAAAACAACAAAATGCAGGTGTTAAGGAAGAACGTGCAATCTCAGCTATTTGCCCAGTGCACAGCAAAGAGACTATCTGATCAGCTGTCTTCTCTCTGAAGTGACTGTCCAGTCTTCTCTCAGCATTAAAGCATTGTTCTAGTCCACTCTTATTTATAAAAGCACTGGAGTGTTCCATGCAATGTTTGTCACTCTCCAGGCATTATGTCAGACAGGTGTCATCCTACTTCATGAGCTGTGCGAGCCTGCCTGTACACAGACACGCTGTATGCGTAAGTTTGTTCTTCAGACTTATCTCACAGGAAATGATACAAAGGACGGTGTAACCGGGGATTTTCAATTTGCTCAGTGTGGTTTGTGAGCCACAGATAAAGATCTGTTAAATGTTGTTGGATGAGCTCAGATGCCATAGCAACTTAACAAGTATAGCAAATTTCATCAAGTGATTTAAGGGAACATTGTTTGCAAAGTAGCTGGGAGCTCTGAACTTTTTTTTTATAGTCGTGTCTTTCCTGGTATGTGTCTGTTTGTGTATATGCAGACATACTTGATGAAATTCTGTCAGTCACCTGTTCCGATGATGCCTGACTTACTCTTTTTGTGTTATTTGCTATTTCAGTGAGGACTTTTATATTCAGAGAAGCAGCTTGTTTTTTGAAAGCTGTCGGGGCAGTGGTTGGAAGCAGGCAATACGAAAAGCAGTTTTCAATTTCACTTATATTTATTGTCAAGAGAAACTGATAATTCAGAAATGAGTGTGCAGAAGTAGCAGAAAGCTACTTCAAGCTTCCCCAGAACTGCACTGTTTATATTTCTGGTCTACCCAGTAACTGAAGGTGATGGAGAGCATACGCAGGCATATCCAGAGGTGCTTCAGCCCAACAGGTGTGACAACAGGACATACACGGTCACCACTCATCCATCAAGCCAGACATCTTCAGTCACTGTCAGCACGCTTGCACCAAAGCTTCCCTTGCCACATCTCTACAATTAATGGTCCTACCCGGATAAAAGCTGTGGCTGGTTCATCTACCCACGTGTAGGACATGAGGGTGGCCCTCTGCCCTTCGCTAATTGCAGGCAGCAAATGACGCAGAATTAACTAATCAAACAACTACCTCCATGATGAGCCCAGAGCCACAACCACACTGCACACACCAGCTCCCCAGCCCGCCCCGCACCCCGCCCGGCAGCGGGCCACCCCAGGAGCTCAGTAGCTGAAACCATCTGGAGGAAGGTACGGAGGTACTGGAGACAGGGACATGGGAGAAAAGCCTGCATGCAGCTCCTCCCTGAGGCATTAAGAGCCTCCCCAGGCTGTGGGGAAGAAATCTGCATTGGGTCCAGGTGATTTAGAACTGATTATTTCAGCAGGAAAACCTGACAATTTGTTATAACCCCACCTCACACTACTTTGACCTTTACTTTTCTACATAGCCTTACAACTTTCAGGTATTCTTCTGTGGAAGAAATCTGTCACTCTGTTGAAAGTGACAAAGAGCATCAATAAAATAAAAAATACCTTAAGCATGTATATACATGAGGGGAAAGCAGTTACCATGTGTATTTTCCCATCTAAAACAAAGCATTTCTTAATTTAGCCAATGGGCCTGACTGGTTTTCCTCACACTGCAATCCACAAGTGTAACAGTTTTTACATCTAATCCTTGCTTTTAATTCATGGACTGAAGATGAAAAGGTATTTGCCTGTTTTTTCACTACTGAAATGGTTTCTCAGCTTTGAAATAACTACTCACTGAACTGAAATCCATTCATGTACCTTTATACCTGAATATAGCTGAAGCTGTCACAGCTGGGCTAGCGATGTAGCAAACCCTCCTTCCAGGTGTGCGGTCAGTGGCTCCAAACACCTAACATGTACTACTCAATTTGGTTTTATGTCTAGATTATTTTAATAAATTACTGTAAATGAAAAATTTTAGTTCCTACCTGTCTTCAGGTTGAAAATATTTAATTCATATTTTAATAGCCATCCCTATTATTTTTTAAACCTGTACTTCTATCTATTCTGATTCTTTTTTTTTTTTTTTAATATCAGAGCACTTTCCCATGTCAGCATCACGCTGTGCTGTGCGTATGCTTGTCCTGGATTTCACCAGAAAGTAGGTTCAATTCAACCGTTCAGCATTTTACTGGCCAGCTCCCTAGATGCAGAGGGTGCAGAGGCCACATCCTTCTCACGGCGTGCACCTCGCAGCCCCAGCAGCCCCAGCACACGCGAGAGCACGTGCTGGCCGGTGGCCGCTCACCACGTCGCCTTCCCAGCCCCATCCCAGGAAGCCCCGCGCCCGTAGCCCGCGGCGGTGGCGTTTGCAAGGCTTGGCCCTTCGGCCTGGCGAGCTGGGCGACGCGTGGGAAACACCGAGCGCTGGGTCGCTACCTTGGGTTGATACGATGCAGTATCAGCCATCACCAGCAACACGCTAGTTCTGCAAAGTTAACAGCTGGGTTTCTGCTTGGTCACAGCCCACACTGAGGTCACCCTTCTAAAGAGAGAATTAAAGGATAATAAAATCACTAGCTTACACGTTAGTAACGTTCCCAAGTCCAACAGGTCAGTTGGTTGCTTATAACCAGCACAAAAACATATGGCAAGAGGAGAAGCTGTGCATCACAGAGTCCAGCTTTTGCTATCACAGACAAACAGGTTGTGAAATCCCATTTATAAACTTTATGACCTTCATTTTCAAACTACTTAGATTTCCTCCTGCCACTTTCTGCCCCTCACCTCAGCAGACTGTTCCGGGAAGCTGTGCTTATTTTCCAAAGCCTTCTTATTTCCGGGCTAAATTTATCTGCAGGTAATTGTGTGCCCATCCTATGTCCTAGCTTAAAAAGCCCCCCTCCATCTGCAGGGTTGTACCCCCTCTTGCATACACACGCAGAGACAGAAGGAATGGCTTTAGTCATGTTTCCAAAATTCTTTATCAATTCTAACATTTTAGCTATTAAAAAAACCTTACTTTTGACCAAAAAATTGTGACACCTGTCAAAGTCTTCTGTCTTTTTTATATTTTTGCAGATCTGGAAGATTAGAAATTAATCATTTGAAATTTTCGTAAAAACATTCCAAAAAAACTAGTGGTTACATTCTAATTCCTCGTCTCAAATGACCTTAAAGAATAATTTTTGCCTCATCCTTCCACCAGGTCTTTGCTGCACTTGCAAACAGCAGGAGCAGGCCGGGGTGCCTGGCCGGTGGGTGTTTCAGCAGCACCTCCAGCAGCCTTGGGCCACAGAACCACAGTAAGGACTCAGGGGGAGCTGGGGTTCCTCAAAGCCCCCTCCAAAGTCCTGTCCTGCCCGAGCAGGGGCAGAGGGGACGTGCCCCCCAGCCCCAGCCAGACCTGGCATTGGCCAAAGCAGAGCAGATTTGAGTCTTCTCCAAACCAGGTGTGCATGCTGAGTAACACCAGGAGCACAGCAACAGCTCCCTGCCCCGCTGGAGTGTTTCCCCTCACAGCTTGGGTCTGAGCCGCCTCTTCTTCCTCCTCTGTCCCTAAGAATCACACTGCAAACCACCTGAGCCTGCCAGCCCACTCGAGCCCTTCTAGGAGCCATTTCTCTGAAAGAAAAGACGGGCTGCTCTTTCAGAAAAATAAGAATTTGTACTTTCACAAACTAGAGATGCACACAAAATCTTAATAACAAGACCAGTCATTTGCTGTCTTGATGACTAAGAAAAGATTTGCCTTTTTCTTCTCCACCTTCTCTGCTGCATTTGCCAAAAATAATAAACCCAAACTCCCCAGAGAACAAGCTGTACTCACAGGTAGCCCTGCTTGCTTTGCACCTTACCTGACAGCTGCTCTTTCTGCCTCCCAGCAATATCATCCCACCATTCGCAAGCCAGAAACTGGACTCAGAGCAGTACCAGGCTCACAAGGAAGTCGTCAGCCTGTATTTAGAGGCTTTATGGCAAAGCTGATGTCAACCGAGAGCAAACAAGTGCAGTGAGCAGGTTAGAGCTCATTCTATAGAAAGGTTTTACTTCCTCATTTGGCTGACCGAGCTCTCTTTTAACTGTACAGGTTGATAAACTTTCACTTCATTTTTCAAAAGGAAAAAAAAATAAAATAAAATAAAAAAACAAAACAAAAAAAGAGGTTTCCAACACATCTCAGCTCTAAGTCACAGGCAAAGGTTAGTCAAACCTGTTTTGGCAGGGATCCACACCACCAGACAGTAAGAAAAAGGCAGATGAATTCTGAGGCCAGTGAAAGGTTTTCCACCAGGGATGCTTTACCAAGTTATTTCAGCTTCATTTCCCCTGCCTTTGGCAAATTTCTGACCTTCAGGGACACATGGAAAAAAAAAATATTTAAAAAAAAAAAAAAATCAACATTTTGCTTAGCACCTGATATTGCAAAGTCTCATTCAAACACCTCCGCATCTGAGGGAACCTGCTCTGGGAGACTACAGTAAAATATCAAAACCAAAAAAAAAAATCCCCTAGCCTACTGGTGCCATGGTCGTAAGATACTTCAGAGACGTGCAGCCTGTCCACAGCAAAGACCCACAGGCACTTCCCAACAGAAACCTGAGTTTTTCCTCTGCTTGTTCCTTACTTTGCTGCAGACAGATACACCTGAAATCCACTTATAGGCAGCAGGAAGGGTTGGAGGCTCAAGGAGGGGTTAAGCTCTGGGCCCCTTTGGATGCTGCAGACAGCTCTGCCGGGCAGTGCCCTCTGCCCACAGGGCCAGGGAGGGTGGGGGGACCCCGCTGAGGAAGGACACCACCTCTGCCACCGTCACCAAGGTGACACAACAGGGCAGGGCTGCCCTTTCCCGGTCAGAAATTCCCCCCCTGCTTGCAGGATTTGTGGGAGGAAGCAGCTGTGGCCAGACCCACTGCCGCGGCGCCCCGTTTAACCCCACGACTGGTTGCTGGTAAGCGAGCCTCACCAGCGCTCCCCAGGCGATGGCAGCGGGTGGCTGTGGCTCTGCCTCGCACCCAGGCTCCTGGGAACCCGCTGGGACCCCGGCTGCCCTGCCGCTGCCCCAAGCAGGGCCCGGGCGGGCCCAGCCCGAAAGGGCCGCACGCCCTCCCTCATCTCCCCAGACACCCTCTGACCCGCAGCAGTCTGGCTGAGCGGGTTAGCGGCTACAGAAGTAGGAAAGTGTTCCCCAGGCCGCGACTAAGGAAATGTGTTAGCGTTCTGCTGCCCGGAACAGCTGTAAGAGCAGAACACCCAGAGCCTTCGACTCCACATCCCTGGAGAAGAAGGATCTTCTTTGCTCCAGTTAAACTCGCAGGGTGTCAAATACCCTGTCACAAGGCCCCACGGAGCAGTACTATTGGAAAGGAAAGAGAAAGTCGCTGCATTATTTATAATCCAGGAAGGCAACAGAGCAAAACATACGACATTGCATAGTATCGTTTTAACTCCTACTTCCCAGTAGAACATTTTTTCTTACTACAGAGATAAGAACAAACAAGAGCTTATAAAAAGAAACGAGAAGAAAATCAGATAAAAGAGTTTTGCACTTGTCTCTCATTTGTAATGAAATGACTAACCCATCTACTGTAAAAAGCAATGAGCAAAATTATGTCAACATCATTCGAATAGTAGTCAGCCAGGAAGACCCTTACCCAGTTCCTGAAATCTAAGAGCCTTTACCTAGGTGATTGCTAGTTCAGAGACAGAAGATCATGAGAAATCAAGGATCATATTTAATATTTCAGATGGTCTCAAACCCTTTTGCTCACCACTGCTGATCAACATTTGAGCACCCAAGGCTGTGCTCCCTTGCACTGACAAGCACGCTGAGTTTTCCCAGCACAAAGATGTATCGCTGCTTAATTGGCACTGTTTTGTTCAAGAGGGAAAGAGCTGCGGTGGAAGATGTTTTCAGAGGGGAAGATACCCCCACTAATGGATTTTCCTATGTTGAGATGAAGACTAAGGATTGACTGGTTTGTGAAACAACTAGACCTTTACCAGGAAGATTGGTCATTACCAACCTCAAAGCGAGACACCCTCATTGTGGCAGCTCCTAGAGGCTACGGAGAGGACCAAGCATGACTTTCAAGGAGGCTCCCTGTACAAAACCACTTTCCTGGTGGTGCCAGACTTTCATATGGAAAAAACATTCTCTTGAAACTGGTGGTGTGGAACACCACAGCTCTTTTGGTCCACACACCCCAGTGAGTTATTTGTTTTGCTAAAGGAAACAGTCACTTATTGCATCAGCACCAGAGAAAAGCCTTACTACCATCTCCCCCATCTGAAAAAGCTCACCTGCTGGAAAAACCAAACAAGCGTAAGTGTCCACAGTATCACAGTGAAAATTCTTTAGCCCCTAAGCATCAGAAGACTGTCAGGATAGAGCAAGACCTTAATCAAATGCAGGTCTATTGCTAGGAATATTTTAAATGGTTCCTGGAACTAATGCATTCCCCTTGAGCAAGAGTATCTCCCTACTACGTACAGCAAGGCTTGGGTCAGATCCTCAAGCCATACTCCCTCAGTCCAATCTCCTGGTTCATGAGGAACAAGTCACTGTTACACAGTACAGTGCACAAGTTACACTCCCAATTTTAAATATGATTTTTACACACTATTAGGCAAAGTCTAGACGTTTTCTGCCAGTTAAACTCTCTCCCTGTTGGAGACTCTGGGAATTTTGACTTGGAGACAGGCGTTCACCCCAAAAGTTTCTATCACTAACTTAATAGGTCCTGCTGGAGTGCCAGATCAGTTACTGATGAGCAATCCTGTATTCAGGCTGTTGAAGAGCCAGTATCTTTAGAAGAGGTATTTTCACATGCTTGCCAAAATGACCACTGTCGTGGTTTGAGCGCAGAGGGCAACTGAGCACCACACAGCCTCTCACACCTTTCCGCCCTCCCCAAAACTATACCACAGTAGTGAGCACTTCAGCTGACCACAGAACAGGATGAAGAGAGCACAACTCATTTCAGTAGTACAGCCAATGGTAAATTCTTCTTGGAAAATTACAATCCCATCTTAAGATCTGATGTAGCAGGATCAACTTGGTTTTGCCTAAAATATCTATTTTTCCTCTGCCTTTCATATAAAAAGATACTGCTATTACTCAAATGTTTTCCACTGGGTTTATAATAAAAAGTACCTTTTACAATCAGAAAGTCCCAAACAAGTTTCAAGTTCAAAAGTTTACTGCTGTTCAGCTTAAAATTTCAGAAAGCTCTTGGAACTGCCTTTCAGTTTCAGTGATTTATTGTATGCTTGAAAAACCTAAACATTAATACAGTTTACTGATGCCTTCTAACACAGCTACCACATTTAACCAAGACGATGCTGGCTTGCTCACTGAGAAAAAGCACATTCTGTCAGTAATCACATCAAGAGTTTTACACGAAAATACTGCCCTGTAGCAAGTATTTACATAAATTTTAGTGTAATTTAAGATTTTTCAAACTGCTTATGCTGTCTCTATGTACCCAACAGGTGACTGATAGGAGAGACCTTATCCATACTCTAGGAAGCTTGCAAGAAAAACCTGTAATCCTGTTGTCAATAACATGCAAGCTCTATATAAAAAAATCAGGCTATAAGAGGGTGAGATGAACAAAGATAAGAGCAGCCATAGATTCAGAAATGCTTCTGAACTTCTTAAAAATTTGGAATGTAACTTCTTGAACATGCAATTAGAATGCTTGTCCACATGACTGATAGGTGGGGTGGGTGTGTGCTCTGGGGTTTTTTTGTTTGGGCAGTTGGTTGGGGTTCTTTTGACAAGTAGAAGGAAGCAGGTACAGCTCTACCTACAGGGTAGATTCTTAGCAGCCCAGAACCAAGGACACACGGCGCGCTCTTCCATCCATGCATGGGGCTACACAGAACAATGCTGTCAGCACACATCCCAAAGGAGGAGCAAACACACCAAGGCACTGTGCCAAAACAGGATTTTGATGAATAATGCTTACGTGTTGCCAGCTCCCTAACCCACCCAGAGCACAACCTGGGTTTATGTTCAGGGAGTTTCATGAACACACTCATGACCTTTGAGAAAAGAAACAGGAGGCCATCAGCGGGGCGGGCACCAGCCGCCGGGCAGAGCATGCACCAGGATGAGCACAGGGTTGTCATGAATGGTTTTGGGTAACTGCTTACTGTCACCCATCCTGGAATACCAACTGCTCGTATACAATCCTTATGCTACTTCTACTGACTTGTGTCATGTCCATGGGATTAAAGAGAGGTCTCTGTTGCAAGACCCTAGCCTCTCTCACTTGCCGTTAGTGCTTTAAGACCAGACCCCATACACATCATGGTTTTGGTCAAGCCCACCTCAAGTCTACAGAGAACTAAAGAAGCTGCTGTGCAAGACTACAGAATTAGTCTCTAACTTCCACACAATACAACAGGTTACAGAGTCTATATCCTATTTTTAAGCTGGTACAGATAAGAGAATCCAATAGAAAGAAAACTCTAAGGAGCTGGTTTCTAAGCCTTTAACCTCTGAACAGACAGCCTAAAGCACGAAGCGTTCCCCTTCAAGCAGGCTTCAACTAAGTGAAAGTGAAGAAGCTGATGTTTCCACTGCAACATTTTCAATGTTATTTTCAACATTATAGAGGAAGGTGGGGTTTTTTTCTTCTGTTTTGTTTTCTAACTACCATAAGCACCAAAGGTCAGTACTGAAACTGAGGTTGGAGATAGCATTGACGAAAAGGAAATGAGGATAGGGAAGTGCGAGCACTCATTAAAATAAAACAAGTCAACTCTCCAGCTCCTGGATAATAAAAAGTCCTGTCTGCTCCAACACCTCTGGCAGGGCAGGAACAGCACAAAACGGTTGTGGTTGCAGCTGACCCTACGGCTCGTTCGTGTCATTTCCAGAAGAACCACATGTACACAACCCCAGCTTCCAGTGATGGCAGCAGTAAAGCCCATCTCACCCGGCGAGCTCAGCAGTCCCTGTGTGCTCCAGGAACTGCGATGCCTCCACAGCGTTAGCAGAGCAGCCTAGAAATGCAGTCTTATTTAGCAGAACCTGAAATTGAGTACTTGCCTCCAACTAGGGAGCTTTTATGCTGTTACTTAATCGCCTATTAATATCAACTAATTTTTGAACATCCACATTGAAAGTTATAAAAATACTAGCAGGTGATTTCAGCAATCTGAAGATACTGGGTATATTTTTAAAAGCACAAAGACATTGAAAATCATAAACTTGAGACCTTTTGGATGTATTTCTTTTTTTAACCCTTTATTCTGAAGACTCTTTGACTACCAACACAAATTGACTATGTACTTCCATACATTACTCTCAAACTTCTGGTTCTTAAGCTTTTATCTGTTGTGAGAAAAAAAGCCATTTCTGCTGTGAAGTGAGCACATTCACCTGAAAGAGGGTGCTTGTTTATAAACATCAAGAATTTCTGTATGTCCCACGGGTAGTTGGGGGCTAGTTTAAGCCTAGGAACGCCTGCTGAAACTCTTCTTCATGCTGTTAAGTCACTTTTACCACCTCTCCCCTAAGAGGATCTCTGATGTTCGGCAAGAATCCAGCTTTTTCTGTGAGGGGAAGCCCTTATCCCCTCTTTCTATGACTGCCCCTTCCTAAAAGGAGCAAACCTCAATTGTTTTACCATCTCCACATCTTTGTCAAATTTAGCAAGTGTTTTTTGCATGTTAAAAACACACTGTGGAAAAGAACTGAGGACAGTATGACAGTGCAAACCTTATTTCTTCAACAAAGCAGGCTAAAAGCAGGAAGAACTAGAGAAAACCTACAGCCTCAGCAGCACTACCCCAAATGCATCATATCCTGGCCTAGTGCAGTTCTTTAGAAGTCTTCATGTGCCCAGACTGAAGGCAGAAACTTTCTTGACAGGAACAAGACCAGTCCTCAGCCCCAAGCCCCCCCCGCCCCTGACTCCCAAGAGCAGGCTTCCGCTTTATTTCTGTTCTGGGACAGCGGGCCCTGCACTCTTGCTCAGACTCTGCAAGGATGGCACAGGTCCCTGCAAGTCCTCTGTGGCTTAGAAACATTTTGTCAGGAAACACATATGGAAACCCTGGATTTCTAGTTCCATTCTTTGAAGCACACAAAAGTAAGAAATGAGAGATCCAACAAAAAGCAGCTTCTAAACCAAATGCACTTTGTTAAAGACTAAGCAAAAACAGGGTAGATGCTGCTGGAAAGCACATTCCTGTACACAATACCCTCAGTCTCAGCTTGGGTCTGGATAGTCTAGGCATCTGGCCTGGCTTGCTTAGTCAGAATTTTCTGCCATGGGATAAAGGGCTGCTTTTGTTCCTTTAGTACCAGCCTTCCCATCAAAGCATCTTAATCATTAGTTCATTTTCTGCATACAGCCCATTCAAATGCTCCAGCCAGGCACAACTACAGGCCCTCCAGGGTCTCAGCTGCCTTGAATTTTACATTTAGTTTTTGTCCTGCAGATCATGTTCCAGCGATGGGTATCAAGCTATAAAAATTTATTACATATTACAATAAGACACTACAGCAAGTATTGCAGAAAAAACACAATCACAAAAGAAAAAAAAGTTACATTTATTCATCAAAACAGACTGCCTCCGAGCCATGAAGAAGGAAAGACAAACGCTATTCCCCGTCTCTCATCTCCCTTCCTAACAATGTAAGATCTGTCCTCCTCTGGAGAGGACAAGCAGGACATACACCATCTTAAAATCTATGCATAACACTGTTTAAATGGTTAGGAGCAAGCCAGACATTCAAGAGCCTACCTACTTTCACTAAGACCCAATCTCCAATAACATCATCTGCATTCCTCTGTAGATGAAGTTACTAATCGGCCTACTTCTGCCACAAAACCTGAAAATTAATCCCATCTAGGTTTGGCAAATACAATGCAAGTTACAAATTTTGCTTTTCTGCTAATGACTTCTTTCTTCCTTCTTACCCACCTAACAATCTGCCTGACACTGCAGAGGCCAGATCTTTAACAGGGACTACAAATGGGCCAAGCATCAGGTGAAGCTCGGTTTTGAGAGGCATACTCCAGCAATGCCAGCCAGCCAAGCAATCTGAGTAAATAAGTGAGCAACTAAGTGCAATTGATGTAGTATGGTGCAGCACTTCCACGGCCCCGGCAAGCAGCACATCAGTGCCTTCAACTGCTGCTGCACAGTGCTGTCAGCAAAGAGCTGAGAGGACTAAGCCAGCCAGAAGCACTTTATTTTAAAGGAAGGAAATAAGAGTTTTGAGTATTCATGTGCAAATGCTATCCGCTCACTTTCTGGAAGGAATGTACACAGCACATTTCTGCCTCCCCAGGTCTTCTATCACATTCATTACTACAGCACCTGAATGTGCTGAAAGGTAAATACAGCCTCCTTGTAGAAAGGATGGTATGTCCTGCAAATCCCATCCCAGTGGAGAAGGGCAATTCATTTAGTGCACGCTTATGTTTCCAAAAAGCTTTAGACAACATTTCTTATTGGAGACTCAAACCATTTCACTAACGTGCAATACTTTATTGAAACCACCTTTTTGGAATTGAGGCTTACTCTGACAGCCATATGCTGGGCATTCATAGAACTGTAAGGCTAAGCTGCCAACAGAAGGCAACTGCTTTTATCCAGTAACTGCATATCCATTTGAGAGAATGTTGGAAATGCTAGAAGAAAATATATTTTAGTTCCCCTCTCTTTTTCCTTGTCCTTCATCTGTACTTGGACCTCTCTTTGTCTTTTGATTTCTTAGGACTTCTGCTTCTGCCTGCTTTTTTATCCCAGTCTCTTATTCGGAAGTCTTCTCTGTATTTCTCTTTTTGTTTGCTGTAAGTGTAGTCTCTCTCTTGAGATCGGCTGCGACTCCGATGCCTGTCTTTCTTCTCATTCTTTATCTTCTCTCTACAGCGTTCTCCTTCATGTTTTCGATCAGAATCCTGTTAATGGAATTGGACAGATATACAGTTACAGATAAAAGGGGAAAATATACAAAGGCACGGAGAACTAGAGGAGAGTCAAGCATGGTTGGTTCCCTAGCTAAGACTGGCATTACCTGAAGTAGATTCACATCCATGGTGATTTGAAAAAGATAACCCGTAAGAAAAATCCCCACTGTAACTATACGAAGAAGGTAAGCCTACAGCTTTTGTCAGCATTTATGGAAAAAAGCATGGCTGCCAGGCATGCTGCTGCTTGTGTTTCCTCAAGAACTTTAGCAAAAAATGGTTATATATCAGGGATTCAACTTAGATGGATACCATCACACTCTTCATAAGCATCACACAAACTTCCAAGCTAGATTTGGATTTTGACTTATCTAAGCAATACAATTATTTTGATCACAGGTTTTGGTTCAAGCCCCACATTTCTGTGCTATGAAGATGCAGAACACTTTTTAACCTGTCTGTAGTAATCCTTAATAGCCTAAATTCTAGGCTTCAGAAAAATGAACGACACTGTTACAGAGACCCGAAGCTAGAAGTCCACAAGAAAAGGCAGCGTGGAGAATCCAATACTTTCAAATGTACAATCAAACAACAACAAGGTACATGAGTTGAAATGGAAATAATGAGGTAATGAAAAATTAGTTGCATTTTGCAGACTGCTGGGTATGACCCATACAGGAAACACAGGAGGATACACTCATACACAGACATAGTAAACTAAGGGGTACAAGTCTATCTAATTTAAAATTACCTAAAAAGGAGAAACCAACAGAATATACTGTAGTGGTAATGGTGTTTGAGCACATATACAAGAATTCTTAAAAAAAAAGAAAAAAAAAAATGCCGCAAGTTCAGGCAGCTAAAAATGACGAAATTTTTAATTTCCCTGGCTTTCTGCATACCATCACTGAGAACGCTGACTGAATGGCTCAGCGCACAGACAGGATTTACTCTGGAGAGAAATGAGTTTTATGTAACAAAAGAGGAACTGCTAGAACACCTGCTTTACTTGTTGCACTAGGCGGGCAGTATGAAACCACTGAGACTGATTAGTAAATGAAGGAAAGATGGCTTAATTACTCAGATTGTGAAATGTCACACTAACAAGATTATGGCACAGTACACGCTAGAACAATTAAGTGGAGACACCAGCACCCATACAGACCACAGCATAACATCAGTTTTAAAAGTAAAAAGGTAAGATCACTTTAAAAGTTGCCATTTCACTTCAAGGAACTCTAAAGATTTTCTTAATACACAACACTGAGTTTTGACACGTGAGCTAACATTTTCAAACACTGCTACAAACTGGTCTGTTCTTATTATTCAACTAAGATATACAGGGAGAGAAAACACAGGAGGGAGTTTCAGAATCCTGCAGCAAGATACATATACAACTTGCTATTAAGAAGGTGGTAGGCACTTTTGTCTTGAAGGTACTATCACCTGAAAGTTTAGTATCACTATATGCCCTAGTAAACAGATACCATTTCATGGGATTTTAAAAACAAAATTGGTAAACACAGATCATTATGAACTGTGAAAAATGTCTGCATTAAATTATACGGTATTTTTTTCACCTCAAATACAGTTTTCATTTTTCTAAATGTGTACTTGTGACAGTAGCATTCAAAGTTTATTTATTTAAAAGAATATTGAACAAACTCTACTCCAAGCAGAGCTTTTAACCAGAAAGGCAGTGATCAGGATGGTTCCCAGAGCAAACACCACCTTTAGAATTACTTAGATAATGCTGAAATACTATGGTTACAATTAGCTACATAAGTTCCCTGGATCAACACACACATCGATAGTCACAGATTTGATCTTTATCTACATAACCAAAAATTTCTGCTACTGCTGAGTACAGTAATCCAACTGGTGGCCAAATGCTTATTCCACATCTTTACTGTCAAACTTTATTTCACTACAGATTTAAAAATATGAATCCATCAAAAAGGCGTCGTGCTTCCAGTTATTTATAAGAGCTTTGTTCATTCATCTTCAGAATGATGCACAGCCATATTACTCTTGTAACCAAAAGTGTCACTCTTCATATGCTTGAACAAGACAACAGGTTCCAAGCCCCTTGTGGCAAGGCCTGAGTAAACATCAGAAGATGGAGTCACTGGTGGTGGAGTAGAGAGGAACAAGACCAAATATTGGCCAGAAAAACAAATGGTGGGCTTGGTGCACTGCTGCCTTCTAGCTGGTTTGTTGCTGAAGTCTCCTCCCAGCACATGGGAGAAATGGGAGAAAAGCAGAACAGCCCTCAGCTGAAAAATCTACCAAGCCAACACTAGAGACGGGCTACTGGCCACATCAGGGCAGGGAACAGGTTAGTGAAGACTTGAAAGTAAAGACAAATAGTCCATGCTGAATGCCACAGAAAAGGGCAACTTGCTAAAAGGATTAAAAAAAAGCCAGATGAGCACAGATCCAGCTAAGCACAATGACCTTCACAGGAACATTGAAGGTATAGGTGTATATGGCAAGTCTGAAAGTGTCTCAAAAAGGTTGTTACAATAACCAATATGATCACAGTGTAAAGAACAAAAAAATGTAGTAATTTGAATTAATATAATTAATTGCATCTCAGTTCCCCCAAAAAATCCATTACGTTTCCCCTTAAGTAGTATTTTACCTTTACCTGTGTCTTTGTCACAGAAAAAGGTCAATTTTCTAAACATTCTAAGTTACTCAAAATAATGGTATTTTGAAATCAAATCTTTCATGCTCTATCCAAGTCAGAAACATGCTGATTTTTCCCACTGGAAGAGGAAGAAAAGGAAGAAAAATATTCCTACTTAAAAACAGACTCTCTCTTACTGGTGAAGTCCAGATTTGTTGATCCAGGATCACAGTCTCTCATCAGTCAATGAGTAAGTGATGATCACCCCAATTTTTAAGCCAGCACTGTGTCAGTGAATATACATGAGAAAGGAAATTCGAAGAGGGAAAGACACTTCGCTGGAAGTTCATGGCTGGCTTTGCCAAAAGTAGTAATTTGCCAAACAGCACTTGCAGGTAAAGCAGCTAGAAATTCTATGACCACAAAAGTAGAATAAATATGCTACCTCTACATACATTACGCACACTAGTTAAAGGTTCAAAGGGGCAAACAAATAGAGACAGCCTTTTTAGAAGGGAGATTTTGATCAAACTTGACCCCAAATATAAAGAAAACAGTGTCTAATAAGCAGTGAGAGCAGGAAATTAAAACCAGAAAAATCAGTATCTCTGCCAAAATCATGTGCTACAGAAACCTGAAAGTCAGGAAGCCCCTATGTCTTACATAAATCCACTGGATAGGCCCTACTCCTCCACAGATCCAGTTACCTTAAAAAAAATTCCAAGGAACCAAAAACCACAGCAATAACTGGAAAGGGAACCAAGTCATAATACAGATCTCAAGCAGAAACATGACTGTATGAAAAAAAAAAAAAAACAACCAGACAAACAAAAAAAAAAAACCAAAACCAAAAAACTCTCCTAAATCCTATTCACAAGCCCACATGGTAGTCCAGCCTACTGGCTCCAGACCCACATCCTGTTACCTACTAAAAGCAAGCCACAACAACTTACCCTCTTCTACCCTCTGGAATCAAGTCAAACAGCATAAGATTCAAAAATATATTCTAAAAACATCAACACAGTGGCTGAAGATTCAGGAAACGTGTCAGAGTAAGAAAAGGATGAGTCAAAATATACTAAAGTAAAAAAAACAGCAAGAGAACAGAAAAACGACTGAACATCATGGAAACTATTCAGAAAACAAAACCCCTTCAAGTCATTGCTGGAGCTGGTAGCACAAACTGCAGTTTCAGTTGCCAAAACTTTCCATTATAAGACCCTGTTCTCTGTTAATTAAAATCTCTGCCACACTAGAAGCTCGGGATGGAAGCTTATGTATGAAGCATGGTTATTGGGGTTTTTGGTCAATTAGTTGTGAAAGGTCTGCTGTTGTTTTGTTTTAAAGTTCTTACCTCAAATACATTCTAATATTTCCAAAATAGGGTTAAAGAAAAATGCTTTGTTTGCCCTCACTAAAAAATGCTACCATTCATCAGAAAAGTTTCCATACTGTTATGCTTTGTGCTGGCCTCAGTATTCACACTGAACATACTCTGCATCAGGAACATGCTTCCTTCCCCTGTTCTTGTACAAATTCCTCAGATTATGCTCAAATTATTAAAAAAAAATTACTTTTTGTAAATGCTAAACAGGATTTGCCAGCTAAACTGCCTGCAGATTTCATTTGGAAAGAGCCATGCCCAAGACACTTACTGGATCTCTAAATTACACTGAGTACATACTGCTCATTATGTACATACTATACAGTACAAACAAACAAGAATATTCAAGTGCAGATGCAAAGAAAAATTCTTCCTAGAAATTAATTGTCACAGCTCCAAGAGGGAACTACATTGCTTGCCATCGGAGAATAGAAGTAAGCCTCCACCTGTGATTTTGGGCCTAAGAAGGCTAAGCTATTTACACTGAAACAGGTAAAGGGGAGCAAGAAAGGAAAACAATGAGAAAGAAGATACCAGAAGACAGCAGCAGTAGACTACAGGAACAAACCACAATAGGAACAGGCAACTAAACCACAAAAAGTTATACATACACAGAGACATCAGTCAAGCACTAGAAAATACTCTTTTCTAGAAACAGCACCAGGAATCCCTCTGTCCTCATTTTTTTGTGCTATGAAATCCCCTGCTGATGTGCCTAGCAGCCAGCTTGTAACAACTGGAACAGAGCTTATTGCTGCAGATGTACCACCTGCAGGGGTGGAGACACCTGAAAGATTTAAAAATGTTCTCTGCTGATAACACATGACCAGCCAGTTCCACATGCGTAATTTCTGAACCATCAAGAACTAAGATTACTTCCAGAAATATCTGTTTCAAGAATGTCAATAACAAATGTCCATCAGCCAAAAAGACAGGAGGAAGTCTAAACCAACATTAGTCCAGACCTCTTGTACATGTATGCTCCAATCGAGAGTTCAATTACATGAGCAGGCCCCTCCCCTCCACCCAAAGGATCCTAACTGAATTAGTATGCAATCAGTGACAAAAAGATTTGTACCATGAATGAGTGATAGGGCTCACTGGTGGCAATTAAAAAAAAAAAAAAAAATCTAATTGCTATGTTCATGAGAAAAGTTATTTTTAACATCACAGCAAGAAGTGATGCAATGGAACAACAGAATCATGTATGCTCTCTGGATGCAGAACTTAAAGCAGCACTCAAAACTCATGCCAGGACAATGGCTTTACTTACTGTGGCTGGAACCTTATCACTTTCTGCAAAATTGCTAAACACAGCTTTGTTCTAAAGCTTGCATTGTTAAAATACTGGGGTTTGGTTTTTTTTTTGCTTTTCACCTTAGCTCAATTTTCCCTAATACTCGCACTTCAATTGTAGTTAAACCTCCATTTTGTCATTGCAGTCATTGTTTCCATGAAACATCAACATCTTTACTATCCCAAGTTCACAGAAACATGAAAATGCTGACCTGACAGGCTGCAGTGGAACTAATGAATAACAGAGCTGCTGTCCCAGCCCCAGTCTTACAGCACCATATGCTTGCACAATATAGATGCAAGCAAACCTGTGTATAGATTTTACACAAACACTTCCCAAACATTTAAGGAAAAATTTTAAAAGATAACGCAAAGAGATTGTGTTTCTGATTCCATATAGGAAAAAGCCAACACATGCTGGTCAGGCAACAAAATGAGAAATTGTATGCCTTCATGAAATATGATTAACTACTAGTTTATGACTGGAAATATGTGAACAACAGGTTCAAAGTGCTGAAGATCTCCTACTTTATGACAGGCTACATTCCCTCCTCAGGATGTTTTGGCAAAAAGCCATTCGGGCATGCCAAGCTTCGAAAGTCCAGGAAGATTTGGAAAGCCTCCTTCATAATCAGAGACTAACATCAGCCTTCTGCATGTTCACAGTTGCTGTATTTGACAGGACTTCGCACACCATGTCCTCAGTTCAATATCAGACTTTTTATTCTTGGCTTTTCTTATTAGGAGAGCAATAAACAGGTATAAAGTTAATGCATGAAGAGGTAAATACCTTAGATTTTTTTGTCCTCTTGTCATCCTCTTCATCTTCGGAGTGGTGGTGCTTTTTCTTCTTTTGTTTTTTAGCCAAGTGTGACTGACTTGTTTGAGACTCTTCTGTATCTTCATCCAGCACAAGGTCATACTTGGCACTGATGGTGTTAGTTAAGGACAGATCTGTTACTTAATATCAATAAATAGCAGAACACAAAAGCTCATGAAGCAAATAAACCCCTGTTTATTAGAGCAGAGTTTACCAAGACTTACAATGTCTTTCAGTCAGAACAGCATCGTATACATTGAAAAAAAATCAGCTGTGCTAAAATGACTGATTTCTGTCCTCCCAAACAGTACAGCCAGGTCCCAATTCTCCTTTCTCTTCTACCTGTGGATATCTGAACAAGCTATGGTCTTCTTTTCTGTTGTGCTCACCACAAGCAAAGTACCATCTGAGAGGATGAGTTAGTTACTACTATGGTCTCATTTTGAATGCAGCAGGTCCCCTTTGATACTACTTAAAACTCTGTTATGCCATATGTCATTCCAGGGCTGTAGATTTGGAACATTATTTGGAAGTGAAACACCACATTCTGATTTGACTAAATTCATCAAAATCATCAAATGAAAAACACAAAATATTCAATTCCACCTGAAACACCAAATGGTTATATGAAGCAGCAGCAAAACATCCATTTGGCAAGCTTTACGAAGTCTTCTCCAGCCTGTTTTCACAAACCGTCCTTAGTTCAAAAAATATCTTTGACCAGAAAAGGATACTCATGCTTTGGTTTTACCTTCTCTTTCAGAGCAAGTTTTGAAGGTTTGTCACGTTCCTTTTCGTACTCTTTGAAATCGTCCTTGGTATACCGCCCACCTGTCCACAGAAAAATACATTCAATTCACTCCAACTAAAAAAATGACCAAGACCCGCATCTACCATTATGTTTTGCTTATGAATTTAAGGGCTTTTCATAACCATTCAGAGCTGCACAGCAGAACACAGCTCCAGAACCACTGATATCTGGGTAACTGTAGAAAAGAGTAGGACAAGTTGTGATTTTTTTTTGTCCTTCTCTTGCTTGCAGATCCCATTAAACAACATATAGCTTTCTCCTCACTCATGCCCAGTGGAGATAACACATGAACAGGATCACAAACCAAGATTCAACAACTAGTTTAGTCCCACTTTGATTAAAGGTCCTATGTCACACTACTTAAAATTCTGTTACCATGAAAGCCTACAGACTATTCTCATTAATAAATGACCTTTTGCTCTGGGCTGCACGAAGGGAAACCTCTGAGACAGCTACAGCTTAAGAATTCAAATGTAATAAAAAAAAAATGTCATATCTTGATTTAAAGAGAGGCATGACAGACTTCGTTTTCCATCCATTCACTTGTAAGCACCGGCTCACAGATTAATGAACTATTCTGTAACAACATGCTGCCATCTCACGGTTATACTTAAAACTGCACTCTTAACTGTCTAGGTCAGAAATGGCTACTGGAGGTAGAATGGCAATACTTCCCCTAGGTCATTTTTGGGTCGTATTAAGCACAGCAAAAACACGATATAGTTAGCTTTCCAATATTTAGGACAATTTAGACCTAAGTCACCCCGACAAAGAAAAGTTTTCTGTGTAACCAGTTAGTGCAGGAGGCACTGCAGAGCACGGTACAGATTACAAAGTCATCTCAGCTCTGTGCAAGACAAGTTCTAGCACCTCAGTGTCCATGACTAGTTCCCAACTTGGAGAAATTGTATGCAAACATTTTATGTCTGACTGCATTTTTAAACAAAGACATGCAGGAACATCACCACTGCAATGCACAGTCACCTCTCCAAGTCCAATGTTTTCCTTACATCCCCAACAACCAAATAACTACTGTATCCATCTCTCCCACTATTTTTGTCTTCCCAAAACATCCTCAAACATCTGAAACTGTTTTTTTATAACATACAGACTGCTATGCAATATGCCTGACCTACAGGAGGTGAGGAAGGGAAATCCCTGACCTGAAAAATTACCTTTTATTGTATACACCCAACTGTCATACAGTGAATAAAGAAAAACTAGAAAGTAACAATGTAGTGCTGTTAACAATGTACTGCTGTATTATTTTGCTAATAAGTAATGTCAAAAATCATCATTTTTAAAGCTTGAAAGGAACAAACAATTTAGTGGCAAAACCACATCTGATAAAAAGTTAATCTGTGGCAAGTAAACCCTTCTACTCTTTCTTATGGCACAAGTGAAAAGAAGAGCTAACAACTGTGTTGCTTTATTTATTACAGTACCAGGAAAATTCATATTCCTGAAGATTAAATGATTTAAACTCAAAACAATTGCTTCTCTTTTATATAATACTTACAGTTTAGAAGTCATGGCTTATTAATTTATGGGCGTTAAAGGATTGCAAGTGTACCTACCTTTTCCCTTCCACTTAATCTTTGCAACAGACTGGCTAAAGTCCACATGTATTCGCCTGTCATCTATCAGCACATTGTCCATTTTGAAGTAGGCTTTCTCACAGTCTTCCTCCTGATATTGTTTCCAGAAAATTCAGTCATGATTATTTCATAGGAATATTCACTGAAGAGCTCAAACACAAATTCAACTGCTTAATGGCATACTTTTTTTCTACTGCAGTTGGTTCTTGCCTTGTGGCATTTCAAAAGAAACAGTTATGCGCTGTCCAAATGTCAGCATTTCAAATTCTAATTCTTCAGTTCATTTCACTATTTAAAAATTTGCCAATCCAGCTATGTGTTTGGCACTTGTAATACATCCAGAAAAAACAGAAAAGGACAACAACTAATAAAAGCTCCATTTTAAGGATGTAAGTGGACTAAAGAAAAAGTGTTTTTGTTCTCACAGATTAGAGAGATTAGCAGATACAAACAAGAAGGTATGCACTATCACAAGAATGTTTACTGTCACTGTCACAGTTAGAGCAGCATGTTGATAAAGCAAGCACCATTTACAGGCCCAACATAGGACACTACTGTACACACCAATCTACCTTCTTTCATACACCCTCCTCTCTTTATGCAGCATGCCTCCTTTTCCTCCTAGCATTCCTTTCTTTAACTCTTCAAAGTCTTAATGTGTTCTGGGGGGAAAAAAAGGGACCTGCTCCTGTCCAATTGGTTTCAAGACAACCTAAGAAGAACATATTTGTATTGCTTGATTGAATAGAGAAAGTATTAAATATTTGCCTCTTTTAGGACCTACAACTTCTGTAACTAAGTCAGTAAGAGAAAATGTTAGCTACAATTGAAGATTTCAGTGTTTTTCCTTAATGGAAGTATACAAAAAAAAAATACATTTTATAAGCAGAAACTACATACAGTATACCTAAACCCCATACCTTTTCAAACTCAATGAAAGCATAACAAAGAGATTCACCAGTCTTCCAGTCTCGAATCACTTCACAGCTGAAAAATTGATAGGAAATTGAAACGTCAGTGCTGTTGGTGTAAAAAAAAATAGGACAAGCAAGTACTGCTTAAAAGTGAGAGTAACAGTTAAAAAAAAAAAAAACAAAAAAACAAAACAAAAACACAACCCCCCCCAAAAAAAAACATAAACCCCAAAACAACCACCTTGCGGGTATTATAACACTTGATTCTGAGACCCCTACTGATGTGGTGGTGTCTGCATAGAAAAAAGTGCATGTCATTACTTGAGTAATTATTACACTTAACTCACAAGCAGTTAACATGAAGCATAGAACTAGGGTAGAATCTCTGATCAATGAAACAAAATCTATTTTCCAACATTGCTGTTTGATAATAATTTTTTGCACTTCACTAATGACAAGACAAGAAATTTCACATTGTTTTCTCAGTCATCTTAAGGAAAGTTGAAACAGACATCACATGACAAACTTTCTCTTCCTCATGAGCACCTCTTTAGCAGCCATCTTATTATCATCTGGTTCAGTGGGCAAAAATAAGAAGCCTAAAGTATTGATTGAATCAGTAGATGCAAAATGGGAACAACATGGTATTGCATCAGTATTACCAAACTCTTGTATACAACATGAGAATTCTGACTACAGGATGTTGAGGAAGGTCAGACAGGCAACAAGGCAGGAAAGGTGGTATTAAGGTGGGACCTCCCCCACGTGTACTGACAAAGTGACAAACCAGGATTAGGATACACAATCCAAAAGATAATCAAGACCAAAAAATAAATACAGGAGAAGACAAGGCTGTTCAGACAACCTATAGGAATTCTCTGCAGCAGCCATTGGCAAGGAAAAAGATGGGACAGTTTTGTGCCAGAACCCTCCTTTGTGGATTATTCCGAGAATCTATCAGAAAGCAGAAGGACTGCAGAAGAGGTACTGAACAAACTGATAGAGAAAAAAATAAAAAAAATATGTAAGAAATCCCTAGGACATCCAGAAATCATGCTGGAGTTGCAGGAGTGGCAAACAATGCCAATTTCACTCACGCATACTGCCAGCTTAGTGCAGGATCTGGGAGCCTGCGGGCCTGTATTCTGGTACGGCACAAACCGGTAGAGACAAAATACAGAACAGAGCTAGTGTGCACCTGAACAAATAGGACCTACTCATGACCATCTGAATAAATCTAAGTGAAGTTCTCTGAAAGAGTCAATATGCATATGCATGATGATGACCTAGATGTAGTCTTTTTAAGTCTCTCTGGAAATTCTAATAGACTCTTGCACGAAAGGCTTTGGGGGAAACTAGGCAGCAATGGCATAAGAAACATCTTTGCATTTATAAATATGTGAAAGACCAAGTAAGAGTAAACAGTCGTTTCTCCCTGAGAAAGTAAAGAGGTCACCAGTGGAGTTTGATGATGATACTAAACTGCTAACGGTGGCAAAAATAAAAGACTGAAAAAATTGCATAAAGGACTTCTTAGGAGACCAACTGAACAAGATAGCAAATGATGTTCAGTGTAGATAAACGTAACGAGATGAGCATGGCGGGGGGAATACTAATTGTGCATTGTAAAAAAGAAAAAAATAGCTTCAGTATTAACTAGAAAAGGTGTTGAGAGCAAAGTAGAGAATACCACTGTGCCACTGTAAATCTGTAATTCCTTTAACACCATGTGCAGTTCTGGTTCTCTCATCTTGAGACGAGAGCAAACCAACAGAAAAAGGTTGAGAAAAGGGAAACAAGGTAAGGAAAATTCCTCTACAAAGCATGAATATGTAGGCTAGTCCTTTTAGCAAGAAAAAAAAGATAACTTTGGCGTATAGGATAGAGAGGCATAGGAAAGCAGGTTTCACTGCCCATCATGTCTTTTAATACCAATACTAGGAAGAATCAACTGCAACTACAAGGAGCCATGTTCAAAACTGAAAAAGGCAGCAGGCATGAGAAACACCTTAACAAGGAAGAGTGTATCAGATGCCAGAAGTGTTTGTCACTATCAAAACCCATACATACTCCCATGGAAAAGAAAAACCCAGAGACTGTATCTAGCCCATGCAGCATCTAAGATAAAAACTGCTGAAAGGAGGAAGAGGACAGGGGGCTGGGGAGAGTATCATATGCTTTCCTCATTCCTACACTTCCCTAGGCTTTCACTTCAAAACCAGTGCTGGGACAGGATACCCACCTAGCTAGATCTGACTGTGTCACCATTGTTGTGGTCTCTATCCAGACACACACAGGCCCAGCATAAATCTCCAGAGACACCAGGATGCTACGTAATGGCCAAACCTACATAGACTGACAGGAATCAAACTGAGTTTTGACAAAGAAGGTTTTCTTTTTTATTTTACCATAATTACCTTTTAATGGGACCAAAACGTGAAAATATTATCTCCAGGTCTTCATCTGTGGTCACAGGATTCAGTTTACAAACAAACAGCACATTTTCTGGTGGCTTGACCTCTGCATCTGGTAAGTCTCCCACCTGTGGCGTCCAGAAAAAGACTCATCACTTCTGACTAAAGCTCTCTACATTTTTATTGCCACAAGCACACTGGCAACACATCTTTTGGATGATCTCAGACACATTCCTATCACAAAATCAAAAATTAATAAAATATTTTTCCTACTTGTTACAAAAAAAAGTGTTTTCCACAGTACCACCTAAAAATTATTATCTATTTGCAATTCCACCACTGGGACTTCATGGTAGTCACAAACAGTTTCTACCTTGCTTTTCCTGTTCATAACATAACAAATACACAGTTCCAAAAGGTGAAAGTGTACTTTTAGAGCTATTCTGTTATAAAAACAATAATGAACTGGATCCATTCCTTAGTCTCTGTCTGTACCTAAAATCATCTGTCCTTGAAATCTGACAACAGTTAGGATAAGCTTAAATTTAAAACAGCTTGATAGCAAGTTAAGTTACAGAGGAAAACGCAAATACACGCGCCACTTCCTGCTGAATTGTAGCACTTTTTAAAATCTGAAAAAGACTAGTGGTATTTAAACAATTTATCTCCATCTTTTACTTAATATGCTAATAAAAAGGTAATGCACATTAGTTTGATAGCAGAAAGAAGCAAAACAACACACTTAAGAAGCAGATTCCACAAAAGAGAAGACAGAATGAGTTTAAGCACATGACACAGAGATGTGCACTGTTCTTTTGTCAAAACAGTAGAACTAATAGCTGGTTTTTTTCCCCAATCAGTGAAACTAGCAACACACTTAGTTTTTAACCTCTTCAGCTAATACAACATAGCTCCCTATTGCACACTACCCAGCAATACTCACTGAAAACTACTGCAATGGCTCACATACCCCACACTTGCCTTTTTTAGCTAACCTTATCTGTAAAACAGGTCATCAGACCCACTGCTGCTGCAGCAAAACAAGAACCCACACCTGCAGGTCTCCTGCAACACTGTGGCCACATCTGGATTGACCTTGGTATTAGTCTCTGCTGCAAACTATTCACCATAAATTTTAATTTGGTAGTTGTAAATCACCCATCCTTCAACAATGTGTGTGCTTTTTTTGCTTTTTCAAAAAAAGACTTCAAAGCTTATTCACACTTTTTGTTACTATATGGAGTTTACAATGGCCAGCAGTTACCAAACATTATATTTAAGAAGGAAGAACATAAAATTAATCAATGTTAAATTCAACTAATCCCACAGAAGGAACACTGCTGTTACATAGATGAATAATGCAACCTCAATGCCACTATACGCACTGGGAGGAGAATATCACAAATTAGCTCAGCACTCTCCCACACATGCTAAACCTTTTCCAGGATTATAGATACTCAGCAGCATATTATGTGCGTTATGCTTTTTAATTGGATGCATTTCTAGCAAGTTTTTATAAAGACTCCACTGGTCCACTTTTAATTCTGGCTTTGAAAATGAAATATCTCTTGTTTTATCAGAAAACTGCCTCCGGTGCTCATGCTCAATCCTTTTCATTGTACCACAGATGCTTAATAGTATAGATTCAGAGCCATGATATCATCATCAGATAAGCAATTTCAAGATAAATAGTACACATTCTCCTAGACTTAATATAACATGCACACACCCAGAGGAATAATATCTACAAGGTAAATACAGAAAGGTGTTCACCATTTCCAGAAGAATGGCACGAGTTTTTGCTTCTTTTTCTGCCTGAACTTCTTCTATTTCATCTGCAGACCGTCCTTTCAAGTCATCAATTTCTTCATCTGCTCCTATTCTGCCACTCTGAAAAATGAAGGAAAAAGCTATTTATTACCAAGCCATGGTCAAAAATTCTTTCTCACTTTCCAAATATTACTTGAATGACCTCCCTCCTCACCTCCCAAGACATGAAAAATGTTTAACCACTGTATCTCTGCAGAACTGAGCTTTCATTCTGTTCCTCCCACACAGATTAAAAAAAGAAAGAGAAGATGTTATCCTTGTGTTTCAGGCACTATGAACTATGTATGAACTTTCAGGCCCAATTTGAACCATATTGAGCTAGATATTCTAAATTCTTTTATACTCCCATCTCATACTCAACATCTCACCAAAGTGTCAACTCATTTCTAATCTAGAAAGCTCCTACCAGAAATTAAGATAAACAGGACTGTAAGCATCTGTGGTGTCTAATAAGACTCAAACATTAGTATATCACAACAAGAATTTTATTTTTACATGTCTTTTTCTAGACAGGATTTGAGGTTTAATTTTCTCTCCTCATCAGCATCTCAAGAACACTGCCCTTCTTACAGGCATTTCTACATCAAAAGGTGTATCTTCAGACAGGCTATGGGGGGGAAGAAAACTGAGTATAAGTTTTCAAATCTCTACACAGTTGGCAGTAAGCTATTAAACTCCTTAGACCATTTAACATATCTGAAGGTACATCAGACACAAACCACAGTTCAGATGTACTACGAAAGCCTAATTCCAATCTTGCAATTATATCTATTAAGCCTAAAAATAAACCATATTCTCTCTAGTCAATTCATCCATTGCTTAAAACAACTGTTTCCATAGAAGGAGATAATCTCACATAGCAACTTTCATAACTGCATGCTACGAAAAAATTATGAATAATTACTTTTTTAGCAAATTCCTTGAACAAATACACCACAACAGTATGCATGCTTGGAGATATAACTCAGTGACCAAGAGTACTTCCACTGAAACATTGACTATTTCACATTTAGAAATAAAAACAGCAGTAAGCACTTTAATATTAATAAATGTTAGTTATATTTTGTCTTCTAACAGAGTATGCAAAAACACAGTAACGTCAAAGGTGAATATTCTGAATGTTCTGCTAATCTGCACTGTAATCAGAAATCTAAAATACAGCTTTCCAACCTAGTTCCACCATAGTCACAGGGGAAAGGACCCACAACACCCTTTTATCCTTTTCTTGAAAGATTAAGCAGCTATGTTTGATTAAACATGGCAATAGCCCCAAATAACAGGCAACCATTTGACATACCAGAACTCAAGCTGGCATAGTAGAAGAGCATCTCTTACCCTCCATGCTAAAAATGTGTAGTTCTTTTAGGATACAGATTTGTCAGACGAAGTCTTAAAGACAGAATTCTTATTTTCACCCAGTCTGTGTTGGCCACTAATAAAGATTAATGTAATTATATTTTCCAACTTTTCCCCAAGAATCTATCATAAACACTCACATCTAGCTGTTCCTTAGTAGGTTCTGGCGAGCGATCAGGAATAGACAAGCCAGGTGGATCTTCAAATGGATCATCTAAAATTACTGTATGATTTATCCTTATAGAAAACAAAATCAAGACCAGCGTCACATGCAAACAAAACTCTCTTTACCCAAGTAACAAGAAACCAGCCCCACTGATACTCAGTTATATCTTAAACAGGAAAAACACACTGTATGCTTGCAAACACTAGTATTGATGCTTTTGTAAAGGCAACATAGTTGCACATTTTCTTACATAATTGTTTATTTCAGTACCTGCTTATTTCACTAATAATACTGGAATAAAAGAGTATTTAAGATACCATGTACAGGTCACCTGACATTGCTACAATAATCTAGTTTCCAAAGAAAATGAATTTGCTTCGTTACAATGTATTCCTCAAAAGGGAAATTAAAAGCAGTCACACCTGATATCTTGATACGGAATAAAATCCTTATCTACAAAGGTTTCATTAATTGTCTTCAGTACATCCATGCCTTCCGTCACTTCTCCAAATACTGTATGCACACCGTCAAGGTAATCCAAGTTTTCCCCTGTAGTAATAAGAAACTATAAAAGAAGACACAAAACCTGTAACAGTAAATAGAAAAATTCAGGGCCTGAGTTTTACTTTAGGAGAGGTACAACTCTCACTGAAATCAGTGGGGAAGAAAAAACCTCTTCCTGATTTCTGTGGGAGAAGATTAGTCTTCTTCCATCAGCTCTGAGAACATGGAGATGCAACCTACAGCTCACAGCCACTGCCTGAGGAAGAGAGACTCTCACACAAGTCTCCCTCTGCACAAGCTTAGAGCTTCGGCTCACTGGACCTTTCTGTGAATCGGTTTGACTCAGTAATCTGGCAGGAAACAAGCAGGGGAAGAGCAGATTGTTATTTGCTGGGCAGGTGGAGAGCCAGATCAGCAAAGGTTGTGACAGGCATCACAGCTGATGAAAGGGAGAGGACCAAAAGGCCAAGGCTACCCCTCTGGGCAGCAGTGAGCTCTGAGCTGAGCTCAAATCACCTGTTCATCGAACTGCATTCAGCAGGTGCATTTTCATAATTTTGGCAAAAGCTTCCATAGTTCTACCTTCCCCTAACTCCATCCAGACTTTTTTCACTTTCCCTTATATCACAAACCCTTCTCTCCCCAAAAACACGATGCAGTAGCATTGAGAGGAGAACCAGAACACAGTAGCATTGACTTAGATCAGCTTGAACTCACACTGAAATGCATCCTAACACAAATCAGGTGTTTTGCTTTAGGGCAACACAGAAACTATGAAAACTGATACCAGCTGAACACTTGGTAACAAATTAAAGATGGAGGAGACTTGGTAATGAACGAAGGAGGAAGAAGTGGATACACACAAATAACAGGACACAGCCATCACATTCACTCTTTACAATCTGATTGGTAACACCTCACTCGTTCTCTGCAACACAGTTAAGACTGGTTAGCATTTGGTATAGGTTAAACTAATATATGTTATATTTGTAAGCAAATTCTGCATAATTCCTTACTGGAATTTTTCTTTCCCAATGAAGAAGCTGCAATAATGTTCCTGGGAACTGCAATAATTCCCATATGCCTGTGTACATGCTAGCAGGCTGTATTCTTAAACACAAATGTCATCTCTTTTTCCTAAACCCCCCACCCAAACAATTTTACACGTACAGTGCAGGGAAGCAGCAAAATTGACTCCATATATTACAAACTCTAGCTAAAATAAAACCATAGGTTTTTTACCTTGCTCTTCGATTATTAAAAAATCCCTTGTTTTAAATTAAAACATATGGATGTTACAAGTGAGGCATTTTAATATATAGAGTGGCAATGTACCCAAAATAATAATTTAGAAATAATATAATTCTGTGAAATTAGAGCTTTAAATATACCTACAGCAAAAACTTTGTGCACATGAATAGGGAACAGCAAAGGGAACACCACCACTTTCAGAAATTGTTTTATAACAGCACTGGGATAAAACTGTAAACTTACAATGTATTATTAATGCACACTTTTATGTAACCATAAAGGAAACTGTGGTATGATTCCAGTTTCCAAATTAACATGAAGTTATAACCAGAAAGTTTTAAAATTCTTTCAAAACCCAGTTTCCTTACTTTTCATTTCCATTTTAACTACAAGGATTTTTTTCCTGCCTATTCTGTACATTAGCAAAATCACATCAAGGTATTAACAGAAATGAATAAACAAAGGAAAAAAATAGAGGACTGAATGCTGATAAATAAAACTAAGAAACTTAATCTAGGACAGGATTTGAAACTGAGCATTTTAATCTCTTTCTTGTCTGTAATCAAATACCCATTGGCACCTGGAACACTATGCAATATACTTATCTATGGCCGGTTTTTTACATGCCTTTTAACCTATTGCAAGATGATGCTACTGATACAACACTGTCATTGTTATGCCTCTTTTGTAAGTTCAAGGAATTTTCATTTTAGTTACTCAGATGCGCACCAAGGCTTTCCAACACTGTATGCTGACCTGTGATCCATGCTGATCACTGCCATTGTTCACCATTGACACAGTTCCCTTCTTCTTGTGCTTAATTCTTGGCACTTTTTCTGCCTCAAAAAATCTAGCTTGATCACCGTACAGTTGACTGAAAATACATATAACAAGTATGTTACAAGACAAAGGAATTTTAAGAAGTGAGATAAATACATGATGTAAAACAGTAGATAAAACATCCTAAAAAAATTTAATTACCATTCAAATAAAAGCAGAATTTACACTGCAACCATGCACATTTTTATGGACCTGTACATTTACACAGTTCACTTTCTATTACAGGGAACAACAGATCTTTCTCTGAGGCACTTCTCAGAAGCCTTTTTTGGGAGGGGAGGTGGGGGGGGCAGGGTTTATTTGTATGTGCTTAAATACAACGTATAACATTTTTCTAAGGCATGAAGCAAATAGATATTTTGATAAGTAGGTTCTGTAAAAATAAGTTATTCCACACTGTAAAAATGTAATCATTTGTGTCAAAAATTTCTCTTACAAGATAGACTTGCATCTACTTAGCACAATTACACCGCTTCCAGGATCACCAGAATAGTGATCCATGAATCTGTGTGTTCAAGGTTTTGTATTTAAGAGGCTCTGACAGACTAAACTTACAAAAGTCAACACTGGTCTAGTAACACTGTCTCTCTTCAAACTGATCTGTTCATTTCCATATACTCTGTTCCACAACACTACAGGTTTAGTTCTGCTCTGCAATTTTAATTCTACTTTTTGTAACAGTTTCTGAGGAATCATATAGAACACATGAACTTTGCTAACTTCCATCCTAGCTGAGTGATTTCTTCAACTTTTATGTGCATGACCACTGAAAACATCTTAAACAAGAAGAGTGATTTCCTTATTCATATTCAACACAAAGAAAATGAACACAAGCAAATTTTTAGAGCAACAGGATTACTTTCTTATGCACAAAGGAAATCAAGCATAGCTTCTGTATTTCCCCTCCTGCTCAATTAAGTACACTGTTACAAAAATAAAAGCAGTAACAAACTGCTAATGATTTTGCCTTCTACAGAGTACTGAGTTAAATACCTCTCAGAAAACCAACCTATAGTTATTTGCTGTACATGTTGGTAGTTGTAACTTCCCTTCTAAGGTCAGCAATAGAATACTGTCCAGAAAAAAAACCTGAATGGCCAAAGGCAGCATAGGAATTAAAAAGGTATTTGGGTATGACTACCAAAGAAGCTTATGCATCAACATTTTTACTTCCCGTCAATAATTCTGCCCCAAGAGAACTGAAGACAATCTAATGGGATCCCCTAGTCCCCTATAGAACTTCTCTGTCGATTAAGTAACACAAAAGTTTTACTTACCAAAATATGGATTCCCCTCCACGGCCAGTTCCCATGGGGTCACCAGTTTGTATAATAAAATCCCTCTGTCACAGAGCAGAATACATAAGCTTTGCTTTCATGTTTGTGAATTTAAACCAACAAAAAAAAATAAGGAATAGAGAATACTCACTTGTACATTATAAATAAGACAATAGTTGTAGTACTTGACTTTGCAGAGCTTCAGAAAATTCAGACAAGCTGTAAGAAATCATACCAACTTTTACTAAAGAAAACCCCAAATATAGTAAATATAGGTACAACAGATATCCAGTTCAATGTGCAGAAAAGGCTGTGTTAAGACTTACCAGCATACAACCTATAAATGCTGAGAAATGCTCTAAAGCCTCTTTCTAGTGATTCAAAGAACCCTCAATACAGTTAGTTATGTAGAAACACACTTTTTTTTCTCCCCAGTTTCTTTCCAAACACTTAAGAAGGAATATCACCGTTGCCCTTCAATTACATTTGCTCGCTTTTTAACAAGTTATTATACATTACATTTATAACGAAAGCATAACATAAAACCCCCAAGCTACCCAACAACAACTGATGCTTCCAAGTATCCCGAACACACCAGCTGCCCAGGGGGACGGCAGACGGCCGCAGAAAACCGGGCACGGATCCGGCTCTAACCCCGGGACGTGCCCAAACAGGGGGGCGGCAGAAAACACCCGTTCGCGGCCCGTTTCCTCCGGAGGCCGCGCTGGCAGCCAAAGCCCCAGCGCCGACAGGCCCGGCTCGCAGCCCCCGGAATGGCGGAAAACCTCGGGAAGCTCCGCAGCGCCCAGAGCCCCGGGAGGCGCCGGGGAGCGACCCCGACCCCGCGCGCGCCCCCCTCCCCAGCGCCGCGGCGGCGGCGGCCACGAGCAGGGCCCGGCGGTTCAAAACCGGCGCTCCCCGCCCGAGCAGGCCCTGCCTGCAGCCGCCCGCTGCTTTATTCGCGATTTCCTCCTGCCCGCACAAGGGGCACAACCGTGGCCGCCCCCCCCCCCCAAGCCCACCGCGCTCCATACCGCGGGGCCGCTCCTCCGTGTACAGGTCGATGACCAGGTCGCCCACCGTGGTCTCCAGCAGCACCGCCATGATGGCCGCCCGCCGGCGCCGCACCGCCCCCTGCCGGCGCGGAGGAGGAGCTGCCGCCGTGAGGGGAAGGCGGCCGGTCCGGGGCTGAGGGGAGGGCGGCAGGGCCGCCCCGGTGGCCCCGGACAGGCGCTTTGGAGGCTGCACAGAGGGCTCCCCGCTGCAATCGCCTTCCTTCATCGGGGCCGGGTGGCCCCACAAGCGCGCCGGCTTCGCAGCGGGAGGAGCCCCGGGGCCTCACACTTTTCCCGGCGTGTGGAAACGTGCGCGGCGGACACGCCGACAAGGGAACGCGTTTCCCCTGTTCTCGCAAGCCCGCGGGCTACGCGAAAATACGGTGCGGGTAGTCCCCCCCCACGCCTCTCGCCTCCAGCGGGGACAGGGCGGGCTGCGGCGCGGGCGGGCTGCTAGGGAGCCCTTCCCGAAGGGGATGGGGGCGGAAAGGAGACACACACCCCCTCGCTGGCAAAGTAAGCGTTTTGAGGCTGATCACGCAGCTTTTGAGCGTGGTGCTCCCTGTGTGCCCTTATAGCCAAAGAAAACCAGTTTTACCTCATAGTTATAGAGCGATTAACAGTCCCAATATTTGGCATGAGTACAGGGTCACGACACAACCTGTAGTACTGTGGGTGGCACTGAAAGGACAGGCAAGCAAACAGGATTTATCCCCTTCCAGATGATGCCATGGCTTGTTCTTGGGCTTACGTGTTACAGCTGAGCGAGTGTAAAGGCTTGCCGCCTTCAAAACATGGGGTGATGCTCCCCTGAGCAGAGAGCTTCCACGTCAGGCCCCACTGCCTTCACCTCTTGCCAGATCACGCTCTGGTACTCATCACACAATGAGTCGATTCAAGTCACTAATCTGTTGGAAAACAACCGTATGTTTATTGCTGAATTTGTTTTTTGCCAGATTAGTGACCTGGACTGACTTGTCATACAGTAAAAGGGACCCGGTGAAGGGGAAGGGCGGGGAGCAGGAATGCACAGCTGGGAGTACAGAGGTACACATAGGCTGGTAAGAGCATTTGCTATTCCTCTTTATTTTGCAACTGCTGCTCCTCTTTAAGTAGCAATAAAGGCAATATCAGATCACCACATTACCTAACAGCACCTTTATAAACAGCCAAGCAGGGAATTTGCCCACTTTTCATCACTATCCTGCTGCGTGATGGTCCTGGAGACATAGTGGGCTGGTCTTGGGACCAAGATCTGCACTGCAGCGAGTTGTATTCTGCCTCCATAGTGAGCTAGTTTTCAAAGCTGTTTGTGCTATCACCAACCATTTTGCAGTGCTGTATTGTTTTTGTGAGCTCATTCCCAGTCTGTACATCAATCCTGAATTGATTCAAGGCTGTTTTTAAGCCATCATGTAGGGCAGTTATCGATGGGAGAAAGCATTATAGCACACTTTACATTTATTACTCTGAAACTTTAAGAGGGATGTAAACAGTACATCAGTTTTAAGCAAGCCTGTGCTGACTGAAGTTTAACTGTTTACTTGCTAGTTTTAAGAACTCTTTGCACTGCAGTAATAAAACATACCACTAAGTCCAGGCTTTTATCACTCTTTTTGTCATAAAAGAAATTAAATCATAGTTTCCTTATTTATGCTGGCTTTTGTCTTCTAATAACCCACACCTACAATGAAGGTTCAAAGAAAAAAATGGCTTTTCATGATCACATTAAAAAGTCAGAAACATCACTTCCAACTTAAATATAAATCCACCAAAATACAGCACTTCTGGCACACTCAGCAGCTCAAGCAGTAGTCAGTCTCGGTACAAAATACTTAAAAATGTTAGATATTTTAATAGTTATAAATGTCAGGACACGTTCACCAGTAGACTAGAGGAGCCTAGGAGGCACCTGTCTGAGCCAAAAGGGAAAGTCCTCTTAATGCTCCCAGCCTGTCCCAGGACTGAGCAGTTTTTGAATCACCCAAGGACAGATCACTTGGAAAACAGATCACAAGTTATATAGTTATTGAGAGGAACTTCACCACTTATGATAGATAAAATTTATGACATCTGTTGTGCTGTGAGCCTAATGAAAGCTTTGAAATTTGGGGAAGACAAGTATGTTGAAAGCATTTTAGTGCATAATTTTTACAGTTTTAATTAAGTTAAAGGAGAATAAAAAGAAAGGAAGAAAGAGGATTGAAGGGGATGCAAAAGACTGGGAGAAAAAGGAAAGAACTATGAAAACAAAAATGGAAGGAAAGCATTACTTGATAGGTAGTTTACCAGGAAACCTGCAAAAGGAGACAGCCAAAAAGGAACAGGCATTCATCTCCTATTCTTTTTCAGTGAGATGCTAAATTCAAGGTCAGCTGAGAACCCAGCCTGAATTTTGCTGAATCTGTAAATTCTGCAGGTCAGCGATCCTTGCTTCCCTGTATTTTTATATACTCTGATACCATTAATCATTATGCCCCTGGTACATTTTGCAAACATTTTAATCATGAATCTAGTACACAAAATACTGTAGTACTGCAGCTTGCTTTTGCTCATCTAGGATTCACCAGGCCTGTTAGAAGGTAACCCCCACTCTGATTTATGCACAGAGTGGAACGCATAGTTAGGAATTTAGGTAATTTAAACTTCCTCCCACCAGCATATGCAAATGATGGCAAGCACCAACAAGAGCTGCATTCTCGTAGCTGCCATCCTATCCCCAAAGACTCTTGTGCACCCCCTTATGAGATTCAGCAAAAGGTCTTGCTGGGGATCTTACTTACCACGTAGTTTTCTGCCTCGAGAGACTGTACAGCGAACAAGACCCTTTACCTATTTCTTTCAGTTTACCAAACACAACAGATTAAAAAAAAAATCTTAAGGACAGGTCTAAGAGAAACTAGGTAAACTAAGTGATGGTAAAGAGATGTGGTAGCAATTAAGATGCCAGTTTTTATCCCTTCTTCCATTACTGATGTGTGATTACAGTGAAGGCAGTTAATCAGCTTTATTTTTTTATAATCTCTAGTACAAACTACTGATAATAAATGTGTTTAGGGATTAAATATTTGAAGTATTCATGTAACGTGAATGAAATATACTTCACAATATATGACTCTCTTAGGCCTCATTTTCTGATGCCTTGTATCTTGTGCCAGATGTTTACACCGGTGTATCATGAATGCGAACTGCATATAGAATACTAAGTTTCTGTGGGTTCTGCAACTTACATTCACTGTCAACCAAGTGGGAGTCATAAAGCAATATAAAATCAGGCTACAGATTGCTTCAACAGCACAGCTAATTTATTGCCCTGCCCTGGCTATATTAAAACCTCCCTAGTCAAGTCGTTTGCCACCCTTACCGTTAGAAAGTTTTTTGCTAGCAGGCAACAGCACTCTTTCTTGCTGCCAATAAAGACCTTTTTATCTTCATATCTACCAAAGATCCAGGTTGTTTCCTGTCTCTTTGCCAGAGGCTTCCATGGTTTTGACTGCCGCTCTTAAGTTTCCCTCCATTTTCTCTTCTCGAGGCTGAGGACCTCTAGCTCTTTAAAACTTTATCTTGTGCTTTCTTCCTTTCTGACGACTCTTTCTGCCCTCCCCTGGTGTACGCTGCCTGCTTTTGCTTTCAAGAAACATTTCTTGACGTCTGGCGCTTGGAACTGGGCCCAGTACTACTCAGGCCTTGCGGCTTACACCCAGAGCGGGTGGGCAAGGACAGGCGTCTCACAGGCGTGAGGGGAGTTGGTCTGTTTGACAAGCGTACGTTGGCCATTTCATAAATAGCGGTAATCAGTAACATTAGTTTATGTTACAGGTAATACTCTTACGATGCAGGGTGATTTCAAAGGCTGTCATCAACTGTGAACGGTAACAGGTGGCCGCAGGAGCGGGCACATCTCCACGGGTTATTCTGCAACGGCCAATTCGGGATCTTCCCGCGGCGGCGATGCCGGGCAGGGCAGCGCCAGAGGCACAAAATCACCGCTCTCTCTCGCCAAACTTTGGCCCCTTTTCCAGAAAAAAAGGCCATTCCCGAGCTGACACTCTCCCTCAGCTGGAAGCTGGCAGGGTGCCGCGGCCCAGAGCGAAACCGGGTGCGATGGCCCCGGGGCTGCGCCCCGCCCGCGGGCGGGGAGGCGGCGGCTCCCGCACCCCCGGGGGCTCCGCAACCCGGCCCGGCCCCCTCCCGCCGCCTCCCCCGCTTCCTCCCGGCCCCGCCCCGCCCTTGCCGCCGCCGCCGCCGCCGCTTGTTGATGTTTCACTTTGTTTTAATTCCCGGGTCGCAAGATGGAGGCGGCGCTGGGACGGCGAGAGCTGTCGCCGCCGCCGCCGCCGCCGTTGCTGCTGCTGGCCGCCGCGCTGCTGCTGGGCCCCGCCGCGCCGCTGCAGCTAGGCCAGGTACCGACGGGGCCGGGCGCGGTGGGGCCGGGCCCTCTCCCTCTCTCTCTCCCTCTCTCCCTGTCCCTGTCCCTCCGCGGGCTGAGGCGGCCGCTGCCGGGGCGCTGGGCGGCGGCGCGGCGTGTCCTGGCCGCGGGGACGGCGGGGCGGCGGCGGCGGCCTCGGCCGCGGGCTGGCCCGGCCGGGCGGGCGGCATCGCCGGCGGGAGCGGCTGGGGAAAGCGGGCGCAGCCGGTGGCACCGACGGGCGGGGCGGCGGGTACGGGGGGCTTTTTCTCTCTCTCTCTTTTTTTTTTTTTTTTTTTTTTTTTCCGGCTGTAGAGCTTGGCAGCCTGAGGTGTATTACCTCTACTTGCAGTGCTTGACCTGCTGCTCAAGTGTGTTTCGGTCTAGAATGTACAAAAAGTGGTACAAAAGGACAAAATGATGCATCCGCCTTAATCTTGGTTGCCGTGCATGTAATGTTTCCCCCCCTCCCTTTAAAGGTTCATTTATATGGGATTTGATACGCTGAAATAAATACCTGACAGGTTGAGGGGGGAGATAGTTACTTCTATGCAACACAGGTATATTTATATTGTATTTTTATGCTTCTCTACCCACTTTTTGATGGTTCAGCACTATAGAATTACAGTGCTTGAGGTCGACATTTGCTCCTAGTGGTTTCTGTACTCTTGGAATGAACGAAGAAAAGGG